AGGACCATAGAAGCTGGAACCACACTGATTGTTCCCAATTCCATGAGCAACCGCAGCACTACCGTGGAACCCAGGCGCTCCACCAGGGTAACCCCCGGTAGGAGCCCCTCCACTTGGGCCTCCAGAAGGCCCAGCGGGATCTTGGCCTCCACCATAATGTCCAAAATCTGGCGGTGGAGCTGGGGCATGTCCAGGCCCACCACTTCCCACCTTGACCAGGTGGTCCGCCTTGCCCACCACCTCCCCCGGGAGGAGGAGGAGGGGGCGGTCCAGCTTGAGCGCGTTCATGCCGAATATTGCAGCGTGCACATCGCTCAAGGCCGTCATTTCCGAAGTAACTGTGATTCTCACAGACGTGAGTCCCACAATCCGTACAGAGATACATGGAGACCTCCTGAGCATTCTTGCGGCATGCCCAGCATTTCATCTTCAGGAACTGACAATTGCAACAGTCCCCGTCGTCACCACGACAAAGCCCGCAGAACTCACGACTGCATGTCACACACGAGAATTCAGCATTCGGGTGCCTACGGTCGTTGGGATCATCGAGGGCACAAATCTTTGGCGCTTCTGGGCCATCACCGCCGGGAGCCCCTCTTGCAGCCGGCGCTGAGGCCTGTCCACGATCCGACGGAGCTCCGGTCCCTCGCCTATCGCCGAGACTCTGGGTGTCGGCGCTGGCTCTACTCCCAGGAGTCCTCCACTCATCACCAGGACTCTGGATGTCGGCATGAACCCTATTACCCCCACCACCTCCTGAATGACGACCTGGGTTCGGAGAGACGTTCCCGCTATCGCGGATTGGCCTATCAAAACTCGGAGAGACGCTCCCGCTATCGCGGATTGGCCTCTCCCCCCTCGGTTGTCGACTCCGGACCTCAGATCCCCTATCGGGGACGGCAGCAGGCCTCGGGCTCCTATTCCTACCCGCATCCCTATTGGGGGAAATAGAAACGTCCCCCCTTGCGCGCGCGCGGGGACCACCCCTTGCACGCTCCGGTGGCGAATGCGACCTGTCAGGCAACCCCCGAACCCTCCTGCTCCTGCTGTCGGACCTCTCCCTAACGGGATAGATGGGATGCCTGTCTGCGCGAGAAGGATCGACCCTATCGGGCACATTCGGCAAAACATGATCAGGCAAAACAACGCCTCCGCCTGGTCTCACCGGCAGGCCAGTACCCCGGCCGTCACCTTCCCCTGGTGTAGGCGTCGGTGACCTGATCCTATGTCCTTGCCCCGCAAATGCATGGTAACCAACATTCCGTCTTTCTCTGGGTTGTGGAGGAGCTTCATTAATCTGCTGGACACCCTGAATAATGCCAGCAGCCTCGTCAAATTGACCCTCCATCTCAAAGAGCTGGGACATGATTCTGTTGTTCGCGGCGCTAAGGTTACGCACGTTACCATCGATAGCGCTGACTCTCCGCATAACACCTTCAAGTGTACTCCGGAATGTGCCGAGCTCTCGCCTAACGGCAGGCTGCACTTGGTCACTGCTGGCAGGAAGATTACGGATCTGTCCTTGGATGCCATCAACGACCCGATTCACAACTGCCGATCTCGCTTCATACTGTTCAACATGTGACTTCACGGTTTCAAACCTAGAAATGATGTCGTCATGATCCCGACGTTGACGTTGAATTCCTCGAGCCAGATCCTGCATCTTCCGATTGATCTCGTCAACAGCCTCATGCCAGTCCTGCGGGGAATCATGCCCTGATGGTCTATCGACCTCCTGAGAACCCCTTCCACTCTGCAGTCTAGACACTCGATTAACAAGACGAGTGTGCTCCTCTTTGACCCCCTCAATAGATTCAGAGGCCCACTTGGCAAACGTCTCGTGATCAAGGAGAGCTTTCTCGATCTTCAGGTTTAACTCCCTGAAATTTGCATCGACTACACTGCCGCTGGCCCTATCGGACGGATGCGCGACAGGATTCGGGTTCCATACACCTGCCGGTGTCCGCATCCCAACGGTTTTCTCTACCGAGAACATCCGTTTCTCAAGCTTGTCCAAATCCTTAAGGATCTCGTCCTCAGAAGCAGCATGGCTTCTGCGGGCAGCCTCATTATTCTCCTGAATCATCAGGCGAAGCCGATCAGTCGATGCCTCATTGTCCCTGACAGATTCATGGACCTCGTGGGACAGTAGGTTAATCCTCTGCTCCACGACCTCGGCTTGCTCATCGATGGCTTGCCTCACAATGGCCTTGCTATCGGGAATAACTTCCCTTGCGAACCGTTGAACTATCATTCGCATCCTCCCGGCATCAGATTGAGTCGCAACCTCAGCTGCCAGTCGATCGACCTTGTCCTTCGTCTGTTGATTCTCGTCGCTCCATTCCCTTCGCATGGAACTCACTTGACCGTTCAGTAACCTGATCTGGTCAGCAAAAATATGGAAAGCTTTCGCAACTGAGCCAGAAACCTCACCTCTCTCGAGCATCTCCTGGATGTGCAAATCGAACACCTCCTTTGCCCTAGCGTCACCTGATTCACCGGAAGAATGAGACCTGAGTGCTGGAGGAGTCGATATCTCGATCCTCTCAGGAGCCCCACTAGCTCTAGCATATCTTCTGGGGTCATCCACAGGACTATCACCAACCCCAGATGGCCTGCTAGGGGTAGAACCCCTTCTACGGCTATCGCCGGAACGGGGATCAACATGGGACGCACGAGACTCGGGAGTAGAGTGAATGTGAACATCAGCAGGATCAGGCATCTCCTCATCCTGCGGAGTTGAGGCCATTGGTGAGGGGCTAGCCCTCCTCGCCTTCGACCTATCGGTCTCAATGGCCAGGGGTGACGGTCTCTTCGCAGAAGCACTACGTTCCCTGGCGGTCGAGCCCCATTGAGGTGTGAACTCGTTGCTGGACCTTAGCGTTTCAAGGTCACTGGTATCTCGCCCTAACGGGCTAGCGATCGACGGACGATCCTCGATTCCGAGTGCATCGGCAAGCCGGCCATCTCTTGCACCTCTCCCAACGACATCGGCAACCCGCTCAGTGACTCTCGGCGAACCAGTAACCCGGTTCGAGTTCACGTCTCTCTGATTTAACGGACCTCCAAACGTAATGTTGGGAAAAGGGGGAACATTCGGGGTATCACCAATCGCCGGGGGACCTACCGGTCCCTCACGGTCATGGATGGCCTCCAATCCCCGAAGAACTTCCCGACTGTCCCTGGCTCTCTCTCTCTCGCTTCGGGCATCCCTGTCAACGCGAAGGTCCCTGGCGGCTCCACGAGAGAGGCTCCTGGGCCTCGCAGCATCACGGATCCTAGCATTTCGTCGTGGTTGGTCCTCCTCCTCATCACGGCGATCCGCAAACGCGGCATACTCGTCATCATCATCGACCTCAAACTTGGCAGCGGCGGGACTAGTCCTTGCAGTCGCACGGCTGCCTGCATCTCGGCGCGAATGGCTCTCCTCCTCATCCGCAAAATTGTAACCTTCGCCATCATAAGACTCAGATTTGGCAGTATTAGGGTTGGGCCTACCGGCATCAGATCCCTGCTTTGAGCTACTGCCCCAACCTGCGGTTGATTTCAACAGATCATCGTATCCGAAGTCTGAGAACTTCCGCTCCTCGTGCTCATCAAACTGACCTGGATTCTGAGAACCAGTGGATCGGCCCGGGATACCTCCCGGAACCAGAACCATAGTCCCTGGTCCCTGCGGCCTACTCTCAAACTCATCCGAGACCTGCGACTCACCTGGAACAAGAGATCTCGGAGGTCGAATCGGCATGGCCTCCGGGTCATCCGAATGAGGGCGGGCCATGTCCATCGCCATGCTGGTGAAGTCAAAACGTCCACGCCTGTGACCTGATTCAGAGCCACTCCTACCGGAGTAAACCCTTCGTGTCTGCTCGTCATCAGTGGCCTGGCGGAAAATACGATCGTCTCCATCGTCGGCGTACCTGCCACGGCTCCTGGGTGTATCCCTACCGGGATCTTCACCCCTGCGGTCCTGACCTGTCGAACCTGCTTCGAAATCCTCGTAGTCATAGTCCGGTAGGTCCTCACCTGAGCGGAGGCCACCTAGGATGGCCTCCTCATCCACGACGCTCCTCGAGATCGTGGGGTCGACATAGAGCTTGTAGTTGATGGTCTCAAGCGCGTAGGAAAGTCCTACGGCTGATAACCTGTGATTCGGGCACGAGCCTGTGCCCAGGCAATGGGTAAGTTGGGGTAAACAAGCCACAAAAGAAAGGTTCCCCAAAAGCAAACCAATCCCCGGTCCCAAAGATCAGGGTTTCCCACACACCAGAGAACAACAACCAAAGGAAAACAAACCAAACAAGAAAAGGGTTAACCCGCAACCTTGGTCGACAACAGGCCGCACGACTGGTCCCTACCAACCTGGCGGCGGCCCGAGGTCTCTTTCTCCCCCGAGATGCCGTCGGTCGACGCAGGGGTTCGGCGACGCCCATTCGAGGCGCGACGGAACCCAAAACTTGAGCCAAAATACCACAGGTCGGTCACTAACGCGACGTTCCTGATGATGATATGAACCATGGCTAATCACAGTTATGGTGAACCCGAACAGAACCTGGTAAAACGCGCGGTTTTGCAATGCGCCCAGCGGCGAAGCCGTCAGATTGCGCGGGGCCGTTACCCGCACCACTACCTAGTTTCAAGGCACCACACCTGAGCCACACCCGAACCAAAAACAAACAGACAAACAACCAGACACATAAAAAAGGTGTTAGGCACCATCCAAACCAAAACATCCAAAAGGCGTGTTTGAGGGCACCACCTTTTTTTGGGTGGTTTTAATGGGACACCACGAGGAACAACACCATCTTGTGGGGGTCCCAAAGAAACGATCCAGAGGTCCGAGAAAAAAATAAAAATGAAAAAAAAACACCCAACCAAAAACAGTCCAACAAGTCCCAAGGAAAAACAACCTAAACCAAATCAACCTAAACAAAAACAACCTAAACCAAAAGAAGCAAACAAACAAAAAAGAAGCAGCAAGCGAGTCTTCTTCGAGGCACTGTGGACACCTGGGGCAAGCGGAGGACCGCCGCGTGGATCTGCACACGGTTCCGGCGGTCCTGGGGTCTGGGCGCGTCTCCGCGTTGTTCTGATTTTAGTTTGGAGGGAGGGTATTACCTGGAATGTGCCTCATGTTTTGTGTTTGGATTCTTGCCTGGAATGTTGTGGCTGGGGGAACCTGGAGTGGTCTTTTGCGCGTATATGTTTTTGGTTTTGGGCGGGGGCGGGGGGGGGAGGGGGGCCAAATGAACATTTGACGGGGTTCACTCCCTTGATGGTGGTTCAAAGAAATCAAAAGCACACATTTGGTTTGAAGAAGCCATGACCCCGTTCCCAGATCTACATAGAACCGCAACAGAAACATCCATTTGCAGAGGCATCTCCGTCGGGAATTGCTTTGCCGCTTCGGGTTTCACAACAACTTGAAGGGGAGTGCCCTTTTTGACACCAGACGCAGCCTCCTAACATGCATTGTTCAAGGTTGGATTGGGGCGGGGGTGAGAAGAAGGCCGCCGCAACCTGTTGGCCTCCCGATGGAAAATTCGGCCCCGGGAACCAAAAGCTCAACACAAAAACCGGCGATTCAGTTGGCCAAGGGCCCTTCAAAAATTGTAGAACTTGGGGACCTCCTCAGCTAGAAGCCTTCCTGGAGCAAAACCAAACACACCCCTTTTGGCCTGAACCACATCGAAACAAACCTTCAGATGGACACCGTGGACATATGTCATGCAAAAGTTGGGGAGTTAAATAAAACAGGGGATCTCCCAATTGTCCAAGGGAATCCCACTATGAAACATCATTACCTAACCACATCTGGCCAAGGGATCGACTTTCCAAACATTTGTAAAGTTAACTAGACACAACTTTGGGATACTAGATCCTCCAGGGGGTCCAGAAGAGGTTAGAATAAGGGTACCCTTTTTCTGTAGTCCATTTTAGTAGGGGAACCCTCCCCGAAAAAAAGGGTAAAAGGGCACTACTGGGGTACATCGGATATGTAAGGGATTCCCATCTCCAACAGTGGTATGGCTCGGGCCGGCCGCATTTTTTTCAGGTCCTCCCGGAACTTGGCCACGATCTGCTCCCCGACCGCTTTTGCAGCGCACGCCGCCGGCACATGGGGCACCTGCCAGAGATTGTTTTTTGGGCGGGCAGCCACAAATGAGTGAACAAACATTCACATATCAGGGAAGAAGGCATGCAGCATGCATGTGTGCATACGCGTGTATATAGCATAGTCCAACCATATATCATACCTCTGGTTGTTGGTTACTCGATAAATATGAACATTGAGAAACACACACATATACATCCAGCCATGGACTTCCTGAGCATTCTTCCCCCCAACCCAAACGGCCCAACGGGTTGATCAGAAAAGGAATTTACGAAACTGGGGTCATCATTTGGGCTGTTTCTAGGGGTTTTCAAAGTCAGAAATAGGGTTGTTTCCCTTTAACCTACAACTTAGGGGGTGACTTTACCATTTGTCCCAAGCGGATTAAGCTTGGGATGGCGTCAACCAGCTGTCTGTCAAACTCGAGAGGAAACAACATGGCAAAGCATGCAAAAGCCAAGAGTGTGAGAGACTTTTGAAACGTGCCTTTGTCAGCCACTGTACGGATTGGACAGATATGGCTGAATCCCCCTGTCAGCCCGCGTGTTTCTCCCTGTGCGTCTCCATGCTGATGTCAATGCGTCTGCAGGTCCGTCCCCAGTTCCAAGCATAAAACACTGAAAATACATCTGCCAAAACGATCACGAATCAAAAATCAAAATCCAAGAGCCCCTTCCATGTGTTCTAGTCCAGATCTTTTTTCAAGCGGGGACCCACAAAATAAACATGTTTCTTAGACCCCAATTCCATTTTCTGGGGCCTGGCAAAAATAGAAAGCCGGAATACATGTAACACCACGGCAACCTGTTGGTCTCCTATTTTGGAAGACTAACAAAGTATGGGCAAACTGATCCCCCCCCCCTCCCCCCCGTTTTTCGCGTTCCGTCTTTAAAACTGCAAACCTTGCAAAGTTGCAGCTTGCCTGCACCCAAACATCTGGACAAACCATTGCTGAAAAATGAAAAAACTGTTCAAGGCAAACAATGGCTGAAACAAAAGCTGTTCAACAAGAAAAACCTTTAAGCAAAAGGGGGGGAGAAAAATACACAAAAACACAAAACGATCTTCGCATCCTCCCGCGCGGCTCGCGCGTCCCAAAATCCCTCCCCGCGTCCGGTCGAGAGTCGAGCCGAGCCGCCTCCTCCGGGGCCAAGGGCCCGCTGCGCAGGATCGAGGCCTCCGAGGCGTCGTTAAAGGCCGCGAGGTCTGACCTCGTGCGTCGGCGTCGCGATTCGCGAGGCGTCTCGAGGCGTCGTGGGTCCGGTGACCCGGGAGTTGCCCTCCCACCAAACATATGGCTGTGGCTCAACATTCAAGAGCTAGAGTTGCGCGGTTTTAGTCTTTGGTTCCATCTAGAAGGTGCCATTTCGGTACATTTGTTTGAGCCACAGCCATATGGAGGACAGGGGCAAAGGGCCCCTCAGGCAAATGGACAAAACCAGGACCTCTGGCAGGCTCCATGTTTTACAAAGGCGTTCTGGGATTTGTCCATGTTAGCCTGAGGGAGTCTAGTCATTCAGTGATCCAGGTGGATTATTTTTAGTGCGGACCCTTCCGCCAAAAGAAAACCGGCTCCGCGCCAAAGAGCTGGACTGGGCGGTGTCCGTTTGGAAAATCGGATTTTACTGGGAAATGATATTCATATTCATACCCACTGGTCAGTAATCAGAACCAAATTGAATCGGGACATATGGAGAGTGTCAATTCAATGTCGTCCCCTCCCAACTTCAAAAGCGGATACACCTTCAAAAGCCTCCCAAGAAAGATCAAGCAGCCAATCCCGCGGAAGTATCAACCTGTCGCAAAGGCAAAGTGCCACAGCTCGCAGTGTAAAACAGGGACACATTCACCAAAGTGGCACGCCATATTTTAGAGGTTGCCGGTGATAAAAGCAGCGTGACCTCGGCACAACCAAAAAAAACACCCCCCGCAACGGCTAGTCTGCGGATCACCAAAAAAGAAACACTTCCTCCGCGTTGGGGTGTCTGAAATAGATGGCCCTATGTGACCCTAGAGGTGGCATGTCACCCTAAAATCAGAGACCTTGAAGGGGCAGTAGCAAACAAAGGCGCCCAGCCGGTGGATGGCCAAAATACTGCAAGAGAACAAGGAAACCCTCAAATGTATCGTGAGTTGCCATGATCTTATCGGTTTGTCTCCAAATGGGAGATTCCACAAATGGTTGGTTTACATATTGGTTACAGGGTACCAACTAACAAGAACGACACACCCATGTTGGGCATCCGTCTTATGTGCATCCACCGTTCCACCGTCTCGCGAAGATCGAGCGCACCCGAGACCCGCGCAGGAAGAACTGCATGGCCTGTCCATAAGACCAACTCTTCGTTCCTGGAACCCTGGCTACGTGATGCTCAAACAGCAAATGTCTTAACCTCCGAGCGTGCGGCTGGGAACAGCTGAGAACTTGTCTGCGTGCATCATAGAACTTCATCGACCGAAAATAAGTGTTTCCTATGAACAAAGCGTTCAAGGCGAAGTTGCAAATGCAAACACCCAAGGTCACTATGTTTGCCTTGAGTGACTCACCAACAATGTGGTGTCCAGTCGATCCGCAACAACGCCCTTGATGTTGGCACTGACACTGAATGTATCATCCTCCAGCTGCAGCATCATGTTGAAGCTGGTGCCTTGCTGTTGCTGGGCCACACATGTCAATATAGGCGCTGGTACTTGGGATGCTGTCACAACCTAGTTGATGCGTTCGGTATCCTCAACTGGCTGCGCTGCCACTGTACCGCTCTGCCTGATGTGGTTGAGCACAAACTGCTTGTACTCATTTAGCACGCTGCGTGCCGCGGTCCAAAGCGCGCTCTTCGTACAGCACTTTCCTTATGACGACATGGCTTTGTGCTGGCTGAGATGGGCATTCCGCTTGTGGAGGTACTCTTCGGCGATTTCAAAGAAATCTCAAAGCGAACCTGAGACCTAGCCCCCTTTTCGGGGCCTCAGGGACTCTTTCTGCGGTGAGCTACTGTAGTATGTTCGTCGGTTAGCTGCCAACATGTGTGTAAACGACAGACTATTTTCGGCAGATCGGACACATGCCTTACTCCCCAAGCGGATAGACCGGAAACATGTCTGAACTGTTGGTTGCGGACTGGCCTGATCTTCTAAACAAGTACCTTGCTGGAGTTGAGGTCATTCCTGGAACAACAGTTACCCTCGCCGTTTTTGGATTAACAAACTTCCAGCGCAAATTCATAGGCATATACGGATCAAACAAATAAGGGCGAGTTCCGCACAAGAATGATCCGGATCTGACATGGATCCCGTCAACAACCAACGCCGGGCCTAAGGCTTAAGCGGATCCCTTGGGTAGATACCGCTTACAGCGCCCTGCCGAAAGGAAGCTCACCCAATATGCATACTATATATATATATATAGGTATACACATTGTAATAGCAACCATGAAATAGAGAAGCAATCAACAAACCAATAGATTATGGAGCAAACAGAAACTAGATGACATTATTTGTATATATTTATCCTTTAACATGTCCCTTTCCATCTTCATTGCAGCTCTAATTGTAAAGATTGAACATGGAAAGAGAGCCGTCCCACCACAACCAACCATTATACCCTCTCAATTGGTTGGGGCTTGAGAGATGGATTTTTACACATCTGCGTGTTTGATTGCTTCTCTTGTTTTTTGAGGGAACCCAGGGTGGGGTTGATGTTTAAGGGACATTTAAACGAAAACAAACACCCATTTTAGGCTCCACCCCACACGAAGATCCGGCCTCCTCGTCCGCGACGTCCTGCGGCTAGGGGGGGGTGACTGGGTGACTGGGTCTGGTTGTCTGGTTGTCACCTGTGGTTGGGACAGGGCTTCTTAGATGTATCCTGTCCACGTTGCCATGGAACGCACCAGAGAAACGGTCCCTGTAAAAAGAAGCTGGTCTTCCCCGAAACGTCAGATTCCGAGGCGGACGGGAGCGTCCTTGTAAACCTTACCCTCGAGATCCCTCGAGCAACCTGAATGAAACTTGACCCGAACTTGATATTTGCACCCCAAAGAACATGTCATCCGCGCAGGACCTAAGTTGCAAAGCCTTGAAAGAATCAAGCACTTCAGGGGCCTTTCTTTCAAAGGTGCTGGTCGATTACTTGGCCTGCCACACAATTGCCTAGAAAAGGATGACAACTTTAACCAGAACACCACCTTACTTGCAACTAAACAGGCTGTACAGGTGATGCTAAGTCCACATTTGTCATGTAGGATCTATAGGGGCCATTCGCTCCCGACCCCACCCCACCAACAGCAACACTCGACCAGGTTGTGTCTGAGTTCTCTATGCAAAAACATGAAACTGAAAAGCCCAAGGACAAACCTGGTCGGAATACCCTGCAACAGGGATCCTTACATGAAAAACACCTGAACATTGCCTTGTAAATGGTTGTTTCCCTGTATTTTGGTGGAAAAAAGCAACATGTTTCAAATGGGCAAAGTGTATTTTTTTAAGGAGCCCTCTGCAACTTACAATGCTCTGTAGCTGATTCAACTTGCACAAGTGGCATCAGCACAAACCAATGCGGTACAAAAAGGCAGCAACCAATGGTTTTAAACCGTTGAAGACAGACTGTTGTCAGCGCCGCCATGACCAACCCAGCACATTGCCGTGGTTTGCGCTGTATTGGTGGAATCTGAGAGACCGCAAGTGTTTGATAAAGCAGTTGTTCGCCCCCTACTTGTGCCAGGGCAAAGCATGGAAACTCATGGGCACGGGCTCACTTCCATGTGGAGCCAAATCCCAAACCAGTTTGCCACTATATCGCCATGGGTCAAAACCCCGTACCCCCAGTGAACATCCCAATCCCCGCTAAAACAAGCTCTAGAATGGGTGGTGAATTCACCAATCCCCCAAAAAAGGGATCCCATATTGGGTTTGACAACCACAGCCGTATATCGGGAGTTCCCACGTGCAAAGTCCAGGACCTCGGAGATGAAGTGGACCGAAAAACCGCCTGAAGCTCAAACTTTCAGCCAGGAGAAAGGCGAAACGGCGCGAAAAGGCGGCTGAGTCCTTCCGCTCTAAGATCTCGATCATGAGGCTCCTCGCATTCTGATCTCTCAACATCCGCACTCCAGCCCGATCCTTGCAGAACAACCACTGGGACCTAATTGCCAATAATTAGAACCCAGTGTCATCTATGTTCAACCCAACTGATCTAAAAGGACACCTATGATTCCGTGTGGCTGTTTGTACATCTACTCCATGCTGGAAGGTCCTGTTGTCTATCACGCCCTGAGCAATGTGCTTGGAAAGCTTCAGGTGGCCCATCATTGTTTGATTCAGAAACGGCTGCTGGCACCACAAACTGCAAGACCCCAAGATGTCATGCTCGAAACGCCTTGCCATAATGTCATGCTCGAAACACCTTGCCATAATGATGGGGTGCCTCATAGAATAGTGGTCTCGTCAAACGGTTGCCGTTCTCTGGGCTGTCCTCAGATCCCCCGCAACAAGTTGGGTTAAATGGAAACCCCCACCACACCCTCAAAGCCCTCAAAGGAAACTCACTCCAATCTGGCTCAACAAAATGATGCTGAAAAACTCTAATTTGGGCCACGTCCCCCAAACCAGAAACGTCAGCTGTGGTGCAATGGCTCGCCGTAGACCAAACAGGAAATATTTGGAGCACCATCGCTCCTGATTTCCCGTACAGTCAACACGGGGCACTGGATTTCCCCTGCAAAAGGGTGTCCATTGAAACCGTTACGTTTGGTGGTTCCCAAAAGGAAATGAAGAAACACCTGGCGAATCAAAGTGCGCATCCTCTCCCCAAAAGTCCAAAGTGGCATCTTCTATTCAGCCAGATCTTTTGGTAACGGCAAGTCACATCTGGTGCCAATCATCAAACCCCCAGAAAGGCAATAGCTGCATCATGTTCCGCGATATCAAGCCGGAAGAAGCCATGGGCCACGTGCTGCGAGTGTTGGTCAAAAGTGGCGAAACACCCAAATTGGGACCACCATTGAAATTGGGGCGCGAACCCCCCCCCCCCAATTTGCACCCAAATATTTTATGTGGTTCCCAAACCAACCATATCCTGTCAAAACCGGAAACTAAATGGGTGTGTGTTTGAGGTTCTCTCCTATTTTGAGACAGCTACGCCTGGAAACAGAGGACCCAAAATGGCTTCGTGTTTCCATTGGTTTCCCTTTACAACCACCCCAAAGAGGGTACCACCTCCAGAAAGACTCGCCCACACAAGCCCCACATACCTGTAGACCACAGGTCGCACACCCCCAGCAACCCATCGGCCTGTCCGAGCCTGTGTCCACCCATACCTCTTGGTGATCTGGCACCTCGAACACACAATACTCCCCTGCAAAGTACCAGCAAACCAAAGGGGGGGGTTCAGAAGGAGCTTCCTCTACAAATGGTGGTGGTTGTTTGGGTTTCATGTCAATCTGCACTGGAGTAACACGTTCTGAGATAAGCTTGGTATCACTGTAAGTGGGATGGATCCAATTGGTATCAACAAAAAAATGGCCTTAGAATTGCCCATTCCCACAACCATGAACACACTGCGCCCTCTTTGGGGTAGTTTGTAAAGGGACACCAAAAGGAGAATTAACATGTCGAAAGTCACGCTATTTTGACACATAGCCATATGGGTGTCTCAAAACAGAGAACCCCAAACACACGAAAGGCAGCTGCACCCCCAAAATTTGCCACCGCAGGTCACCGAACAGATTGACCTCCGTTTTCAGGGGGCTGTGATATGCTGACTCTGTGGCATTGGGGGCGTCAAAAGACATGCACTCCATGAGTTGTTGTTTTTGTTTCCCATTTGTGTGCCAGGAAGATGTGCCATGGAACTTATCATTGCCCGGTGAAACCCAGGTTGCAAATCGAAAAGATCACCCTCCGAGAGCGGTGTGAACCCCGTGTTAAGAATCTGCACCCTCCGAACTGTTTCAGATCAATCTCACCTGCAAAGTGTGCAGGAAAAGCCAAGGAAAAAACACCAGCCCGGCGATCATGGAAGCTGACAGGAAGGTGTGGGAAGACTTTACTTTGGGAAACCGTTCTCTTCACTTCCATACTGTGGAAGGAGGGTACACGGCTATGGGTCAAAATCCCGCACTCTCGGTGAACATCCCAATCCCGACTAAAATAGACTAAAATGGGTGGTGCACCTACCCCAAAATGCTACCAGCGGTTTTGACAACCACAGCACGAATCACGAAGAGCAGTGACTTTCCGGGTTCCGAAGACCCACACCAACTCCGTCGCCCATCTACTCGCCTCTCGCAAGGTGCTGGCATCGGCAAAGGACCTCCAAGGCAAACAAAGAATTGGGGGGGGGGAGGGGGGGTGGAGATCCTTTTTTGGAGATGGTACCCCCCCCCATTTTGGGTTGGCTTTTGAAGGAAAACAAAACAATTACAACTTTTTGGGGGTCCCCCATAACAGACACCCCCTGTGGAGCTTCAGGGATCATGGTTTGGTTTTGTGGACAGAGGTGACCTCTCAAGTCTTTACTTTTAAAATCTTTTAAAATGATGTTGGCCCTGGATAAATAAACCTGTCCATCCTGTTCCCTCCAAAGGTGATATAAAAGGGGGAACACCTCTCAATAACCAACCGGGGGTGCATCAATCCGGGGTTCCCATTACAATTAGATGGCACGCGGTTTGTGCCAATCCTTTCCAAAGGACATCCCGGTTGCGAAGGATCGGAAGGTCACCAGTGAATTCAAAGGACCCAGGATCCCGAACAGCAAACCTAGAAACACCGGCAAGTCGTAGTGACGCTGAGAAACTCATTTGCCAATAATGAAGACTTGCTGGCAGGTAGATCAAGCTTCCCGAGCAAACTCTGAACACTGAATCCATGTGGTGATTTCCAGGAGAAAAAAAGGGTAAATTCGCCGCATGAATTTGCAGTCGAGGTTCCATGTTTGTCAAAGAGCCTTAGCTCGAAACCAGCTCCGCGCAAGTGGAATTCAGAGCCACGGGCTTCAAGAGTGTGGCGTTGAACCGTACGGACCGTGAGGGAGCGAGAAGCAAGGCCAAGAGATGTGCGCCACCACAACACGCACATGTTCGAGACAACAACATGGACCCATGCGAAAGTTTCCTCGGGGAGCGTGTTGCAGGCCAGATTGGGATATATCACGTGAGGGCCGACCCAGAACCGGTGGTTCGGCATGCCCCGAAAAAGCCAGGAGGAAGAAAACACATTGTGTTTGCCAGCTGGTGCTTCTAACCGCTCATCTGCAGTCTCTGTACCTTCAAAAGTCGACATCAAAGATCCCAAATCGGGGGCCATGGGTCTGAGGGACCTCGTGGATCGCTCGTTTCAACCCCTCGGCTCGCGATTGAATCGCTCAACCCAAGTGCCACGAGGCGGTGATTCGTTCGCCGCACGCCTCGGGAGCTCGCAAAGCATGGCTCCCCCATAGAGCTGCGCCTGCGATCTCGAAGCTCGTAAGTGAAAAAACACCGTGTGTGTGTGTGTGTGGTCTTTTTTGAGGCACTCGCCCCACGTGGTGGTTTTCCTTTTAGGAGTTTGGGCCGTCACGGGGCGCGACGCGCAAACGGAGCCTTGACGTGTCTGTCCTCCAAGGGTATCAAGGCAACTGCTTGACTCTCACTGCTTCCGGGTGAAGATGCTGGAAGAGTTTTAACGCTGAAGTCAGATCCGCCTCGGGAGGCTGCCCATCTGATCTTAGATCCGTGCGCAAATCCCAGGCATGTGGGAGGCGCACATCACGCAACATGCAGGGAGGTGCCGCCTATGCAGGGTGTATGCAGGGGCCTTTCTGGCGCTCCTTTTTGTGGAAGACATCTCCTGAAGGTTTTGCATATCCGTCCATGATGACAGGCATGGCAATGCAGCCTGCTGAGCTGTTTTGTGGATCTTTGCCGGGATGGACGTACATGGGGCATGTCCTTCGCCAGCATGGACGGTGCTAAAGCAGAAATCCGGAGCCGTGCTTGGGACCACTTATGATCCGCCTGGGACGCCGGCGTACACCATTGACTTGTCGCTGCAATCACTTTTTGCCTGGCACGCCAAGATGCTTAGTCTCAACTAGCAGCTGGATGTGTCAGCCACGCAGTGCGATTTGAGGTCAGCTCGCTGTGGGGCTTGGCCGCAGATGCTGGTTGGGGCCACCACTGCCATTGCCTCCGTGACCAGACCCCCTGTAGAACGCTTTGAGCAGGTTGAGGGGTTTCCGCATCCTTTTAATTGGGATCGGGATATTTGACAATCTCCTTGGAGTAGGCGGTGTTTCCTGTAGCTGCAGACCCTGAGGATTTTGAAGAACCCTTGCGGAATACTGGAAGCCGGCCTGCTTTGAAGAAAAGGAGGCGTCGGAGCCTTCACACAGCTGCATCTGCTCTTCCTCACAGGCTCCCTTGCGTGCAAGCTATCTTGTGGCTTGAGGTTCGTTGTTCCTTGTCCTGTGCCAATTTGCTGATTCAATCCCGGCATTTTGCGGCCAACTTGGTCCGTTGGATTCCTTCCACCTTCCACCGAACATTCATCAGATCGCAAGATATTAAAATGCCAATGGCTCTGAGGCGCCCTCCTTCATTCAAGATGCCGGAAAGTGCACAAAGTTCTTGCACCAAACATGTAACAACCTGATATCAGACTTCCTATCGTTGCACGCAGTGAGGGGCACTCTCGAATGGCCTGGCTCAGAAGGCAGTCTGAAACATAGACACTTAAACCCTCATGGCTTGAATTCACGGCAAGTCAAGTCAAACATACATGGCTTAATCACTTGGCTTTTGTTAACTCAGTTGTTCAGTCACAGGGGAAAAAAGGGAACCCTTTTTGGGGAAGACCATTTTTAGTGGGACAGCCACCAAAAAAAAGGGAAAAGGGTGCCACTGAACAACTGAGTTAAAATTAAGGATTGGTACCCTTCGCGTCGGTTACACAACCCATTTGTACGGCCAATACGTGTGTATTGCCCCAAACGTCCCCCGACGGCCCGCCTGCATGTGTCAGAAAACGTGCGCAGGGCCAGTGTTTTGAGAGGTTGAAGCTCACAGGTCCGGACCAAGTGTGTGGGGCCGAAGTCTGGGGTTGGGCCCCGAAATGCGCACCCTCTGCGGGAATCGTGTGTGCGGGATTTCCTTTTTTCCCTAAACCTAAAACCCTAAACCTAAACCCTAAACCCTAAACCTAAACCCTAAACTCCTAAACCTAAACCCTAAAATCCTAAAACCCTAAACCTAAACCCTAAACCTAAACCCTAAAATCCAATAAACCTAAACCTAAACCCTAAAATCCAATAAACCTAAACCTAAACCCTACAATCCAATCACCCTAAACCCTAAACCTAAACCTAAAACCTAAACCCTAAAATCCTAAAACCCTAAACCTAAACCCTAAAATCCTAAACCTAAACCCTAAAACCCTAAACCTGCGCAACTCAAGGGACAACTGCGCCCATTGCATGCCTGTCTAATGGGCGGCTCCCAACCTGAGCCGAGCCAAGGTCCTGGTCAAGGTCCTGTGGGGCGGAAAGCATGTATTGGGGGCATTTGTAGGGTCCCCAAGTTCAGCACCCCAAAAAAAACACACACACCAAACACGCCGAATACCGAAACAGCACCCAATGAAATCCGCGAATCCGCCTCCTGCATGTCTGTCGGCCCGCCCATGGCCCAAGCAGATCCGTGTCCGCACCGTGGGGTATCCTTTGCCCCAAAAACCACCGGTGCCCAGTGCCAGCGTGTGGTATAATTCACATTTCCCCCCAAGCAAATAAATAAATATATATATATATACAATGAACATGGACCATGTTACATGTTGCATGGTGCCAAGTTGTTGTATCCCACCCTGGCACCAATTTGTTGGTTCCCAGGTTCCATTCACGCGCGGGCGGGGTTTTCCCTTGACCTCACAGGCCCTCCAGTGTGCCCAGGTGTTCGACTCTCGGGCCTAAGATGACAACAGGGAATCCCGGACCAGCGCAACGTAGAACACATCATACGGAAAAGCCTCTGCTCACTTCCTGAGTAACAAAACCTCCCAAACCTCTTGTTTACCACTAAGTAGGTCTTCCCAAAAAAAGTGACTCAAGTCACCTTAAACTAACTCAGAAAGTGAGTGTGTCCACGTCCACGCCACCCACTTTAACAAAACGAGTCGTGCCCCGCGATTTCAGACCACCTGTCAGGTTCTCTGGAAGCATATTAGTCCTTGGGCGTGTAGCCCATGGCTCTTGTAGATTAGGCTGCATGTATGAAGCCATGGCGGCTAATACCCGGAAAGAAGAGGTCAGTCCCCTGGTTTGGGGGAATTTTCATGAGTCCCCCCATGCTCCTGGCAAATTCACCATACACTGCTTGTATTTTGACCCAACCTCATATGGGCTTGTCTCACAATGAGGTGGCAAAAACTCATGAATGGACACCCAAAAAGCTTGGCTTCCTGCAAAGACTGTTTAAAACTAAAAAGGGCCTCCCAAAAAATAGGCACATCCATGCACCCCTGGTGAAGCCCCCTGTTCGGACTACAGCAAACCAGTAGCTGCAGCTAGGGAAATTGCCTTCCCTTCTCCCCAATTCGGCAAGGTTTCCCTACAGGTTCCCCATGATCCATGAGTTTCATCCGTACCTTCAAGGTTTTTCCATGCCCCGTGTCTTGTGGGGCTCAAGGCATTTTGTTTTAATGCGCTCTTCATGGAATCCCCACGAGTCTCCACCGTTCCGATCGTTCCTCATAAATTTCGCTTGGGCTCTCCCTTACTACGCGTGTGCGGTTGCAGCCCAATCTACGCAACACATTGCTCGTTGGTGTGCACATCAATCTCCGCCTTACTACACACGGCTCTTAGGCGTGTTGCAACCCGACAAATCAAACCAATCTTTTGTCAGGCCCCGTTGAACTGCTCCACCTGATTCATTATTGGCCCACATCTAAGGTACATAGAAAACAACATGTTCAGATTCTGCTTCATATTCAGTCTACCCGAAAATATAAAACATGTGCTGCGTTAGAGAGTTAGAGATCCCAGAAAAATGTGAGTTCCCATAGTCAAATACACTCCCTCAGACTAACACGGAAGCTCCCATAAGGCCGCGTAAACGGAGCCAAGTCTTCCAAAGAAGTCCTGGGAGCTTCCATGTTCGTCTGGGGGAGGGTATGTTCAACAGGGATCCTTACATTATACACCTGAACATTATTGCCTTGTAAATGGTGGTTTCCCTTTATTGTGGTGTTGAAAAAGCCACATATTTCAAATAGTTGCAAAATGAATTTCTTTTAAGGAGCCCCTGGATTCAATAAGTCTGGTTTTCATCGAAAGTTGTCCGATGAGCGGCCCCAGCTTTGGGGGCCTTGGGGGGTGAACCAGGTCTGCCGCAGCTTGAGGGCGGCTCAGAGCAGGTGCCGGTGGTCAGGGGAGTCCACGATGGCCCGCTTCGCCTCGTCGAAGTGCCACTGCCTTCCTAGCGCCATCGAACAGGGAAAGATCAACTTAACAAACATCAACCCTAGCGGAAAGAAGCATCACGCACAAAAACAAACAAACAAAAAACAAGCAAGCAAGCAAGCAAGCAAGCAAGCAAGCAAGCAAGCAAGCAAACAAACAAACAAACAAACAAACAAACAAACAAACCGACTGATGATTCAACCTAAAACCATCACCTCCATACCAAGGGAAACTCGCCCAACTACCAAACAAAAAGGTGATGCGTCAAGCCAGAAAACAAGGGACTTATGTGCCACGGTCAGAACTCCTATGGGTCATATATGGCTCTCTTGATAGGAACCCGAAGGGTTACGAATCCTACAAGGTTCACAGCACCGCCCTTACTAACAGCAAGTTAGGGGGTCCTTTGACCATGGCACATACCCCGAGTTGCTCCAAAGGCCCCATCGCACCCCAAAGCTGTGATGCCACTATGGAGTCATTCTCATGACTACTTTATCACTTAGGGGATACTCCTTGGTATCCCAAAAGGGGCCGTAAAACACCCCGGGCATGAACCATATACCTTTGCAAGTCCTCGCAAGTGCCTTGAATCGGCTGAGGCCTCAGATCCTGAACCTCACCGACTCTCAAACGGCTTGTTCACCTCCAGGCGGGCGGTTTTTTTTCGGGGGGGCCGCAAAACGGCATTCAACAGCCAAACGGGGGGCCTGTCTGATGCCTCTTGTTCTACATTTCCCCTGGAAAACAAGGTCAATGCAGAGTGTAAGATAAATGTATCTTCTATTATCTATAGTTCAACCAGCCAAACGAGTTTGTATCCCAAGAGAGCGAGCTCACAAAGAAAGACAATGAGACAGGGACTGTGGCTGCAGATTCCTGTTCTGGCTACTCTCTTTCCAATCATGGAATTGGACAGATGCTTTATCCTCAAACTTGCCTGGTGGCCCAGAAAGCATTTCTTCATTTAGTCCCCAGTCCCTGCTTCTCTCAGTTAACCCTTAGCGAGCCAGAAATAAAAGGTTAATGCTTGGGGCCCTGACTAAACATGGACCAAGCAGGGACAAAAGGTTGCTTTGCTTGTCTATGAATAGGGGCTTGGCCCTCAAACTGGGATCTGTTTGGTGTTCTGCCCCCCGGTTTCTCCCAAGACTCCCGGGCTTGGGCAAAAGCAGCGCTGCAGCAGTACAAGATGGGCTGCGAAAACCGGAGACCAAAGTCCAGAGAAACCAGACGGGTTTCGGGCTACCTCGGCGTCCAAAAAGAACAAGGCTCCACTGCCTCAATGGATCACTGGGTTTCAGGCGACCTCGGCGTCGTAAAAGAACAAAGCTCCTGAAACTTCCACCTTCTGCGGGGTTGTCCTTATTGAAAGCCTGTCAATGTGTCTTGCCCCTATGTCCCCCTTGTGGCCAGGCCCCTTTTCCGGTCTTTCGCGTAGCGTCTGTCCAGCTCGGAGTCCTCCTCCTGCATCTTGGCGCCTTCAGAACTTGAGCACGCAGCCATGCTTCTACCATTTCCCCCAGTGAAAAGCAGCGCCCAAGGAAACTTACGCGCCCATTCTGTTTGGAACGAAATGGGACGCGCTTTCGTGACTGGTGAAAAGTCAAAATTCGGGGTGGGGCGGGTTGATGTCCACCACATACATGTCATGTTCGGATTCTGGTTTTTGCTTTTCATAGCCGAATCACCCTTCCAGGGAAAGATATGAGGTAAGCCGCAAGGATCAAATAGGCGACAAATGTCCCCCCTTGAAGGTTCATGTACAAAAGGGTCCATTGAGGTGATTGCCTCCAAATTAAGATCTGTCTTGAAAACAATTGTTCACTTGGGTTTCTTTTTGTGCATCCTCTTCACTGTGTTCTTTGTCAAAAGTGCTATTTTTGACACATGCCCTGGTGAACATTGTGGGCAGTGTCAAAATTAAGGGGTTTCGAGACCCCCCCCCAAATGGCGTCTCTTCTTTTGGTTTTCCTTTAAACTAACCTGAAATGCGGTACCCTCAAAGAAACCACAAACACACACCAGCACCCCCCCAAGTGCTTCTTTTTGGACAGTTCTTGGGGTTTTGGGCATATCTTTTGCGACTGACTCTGACACACACACACACACACACACACACACACACACCCTCCCCTCACCTTCCATTTGGTTGAGACCCTTGGCAAAAATATATTTCCGGTAGTGATAGATTCCCTTTAAAACCAACAGGGGAAAATAACACATATTCTCAAGCAAATGGAAGTCTCCCCCCCCCCCCCCATGACCCCAGTGACCCGCGCCTACGATGGAGAGCCCGTCCATGCGGCCGTAGACCTCCCCCGTCTCCCCCACGAGCCGCGCTTCCACGAAGACCTTCTTCCTCTCCTAAACAAATGGGCAGTTTCAAGCAGGGACCCTCTGGACGTCGCATTTTTGGTGGGGATTTCTGACAACCAGTGTCTTATGAGGTTGATTCCTTATTAATTTTCACATTCAAATCAGCTTCCCTCCGATTGGTTTGGAGTGGCTTGGAGGTGTCGGACAGAGATGGTTCCCCCCAAAAAACTCGGAGCAAACAAACTACTCAGAAATCCAAATCCGAACCACCAACCCAGGCTACATGACTCCGAATTCCTGCAGGATGGGTGAAACCCCCATTTGGGATACACCAACTAACTGGTGCGAAGCTGATGTTGTACAGGTGTCCTCTTGGGAAAAAAAAACAACTGATGGCACCAGCCCATTGAAACCAATCTAAAACCAGTGGAATCCCTCCTTCAACCTCAGGACACCTATAACTCTCCAATTCCGACAGCAATGGCTCCAAACGAAACCACGCTGCTTTGCCCAAGCATGGACCATGTCAGCCGACCTTTCGCGAAACACACTTCCCAACGTGTGGGAACGAGAAAAACAAAAACCGGGTCAGCGGGTCAGCGGGCGGAGCCCTCGCCAAGAACTGTTCAAGACTGGAGGGCCGAAAGAATCAAAAGCTGGGATTTGACTTTAACTCAGCACTCTCTTGCAAGCATAGGTGTCCTTTTTGGAAAATAGATGGCCCTGGTAGATGATTGAACCACCAGGTAAACCAGGGCCTTCTATGTTTTAAGCAAAACAACCAAAAAGGGCACCTATGCTCGCAAGCCTCTGGTAACCTCCTGTGGGCCATGGCCTGGTAAATTGACTATCTGACCATCGCGACCACCAGATTCTCCGGGCCCGTTTTAGGAAGACATCCACAAACATTGCCCTCTCAATGTTAGCTTTGGGTGTCTCACCCCTTGCGATGTTGAAGGCCCTCAAAAGATCTTAACATGCAACGGGAACTTGTGTTCTCATAGCCTAGACCTTGACTAGCCCCGTGCGTGCCTGTTCTGTGAAAACGTGTTTTTGTCCCTTCGAAAGCAACTCAAAGAAAGCTGTTCATGACCACCCCACCCCACCCCCACCCCACCCCATCCCCTTCAACTGCATGGTCTTTTGTGTTTTGTCATATACTGTGGATGGACCAACTCCTCCACCAAATCGATAGAGCCATGGGACCATCCACAGGAACCGTACCGCAGTCCGTTGAAGGGAGCCCAAAGGGCAAACCTGGAAGGCCATCTCCATTTGGGGTCCCCCAATGTTGACATGTTCCCAGTGCTTTCACCATGGCACCCCAAAGGGTCGCCAGAATCACTACCCCCATAGCATGTTTCAAGATACCACGTGTTTATGAATCTTGAGCAAGCTTCGCAAAAGTGGTTGGTGGACATGAATCCCCACAGTGATATCCACCAAAGGTCACCTAACTAAAACTCTTGCCATCGATCACGGTCTTTCATGCCAGGGTTTGCCTTTTCCACCGAAATGAACAGCCTCCCTCGAAAAGGGTTTCTACAGTAGCAGGGGGGCTGCTTATTTGTCTCACGAACAGTGGACAAGGCAAACCGTGTATTTCATGCCACCTGCCATGGGCACAAAGACCAGTCCCCGCCTGCTTGGCGACGTGACCCTCCAGCAGCAGCGTCTGACCCACCCGCACCTCAAGGAGCCAATGAGCGACCGAGTGAAGCTGAAGAATCCGAGGGCTCCTTTGGGTGCAAAGTCCCAAACAATGAAGTCAATATTCTACACCTAGGGTTGTTTAGCTCCTTCTGGACCCATGAATTTTCTGGGTGTCCCACTTTGGGGATGCGGGCTCTGGATTTGTGTTGGGACACCCTAAGCCACCAGCTTGATTAACTCGTCAACTTCCCCCCAGAACGCCCGGAGGCGAAACTGCAAACTGCAAACTGCCCCTTGCGAGTTGTCGTGGACGAATTCAGACGCGGGGGCACCGCCCCAATAGGAGGTCAAGCAACCAGGAACCTGTAGGGCTCCTTTTGACTTGTGGCTCCCTACATGACCCTAAGGGAAACAAATCTCCCCTCCCAAGAACAAGAGACACGCCAACAAGCCCAGGCGGTATCCCCAACATGCGGAACCCTTCCGAAACCCTAACCCAGAGCCACGACGATCCGCAGCAAAAGGAGTTACAAAGCTCTCAGCTCAAAAGCGATGCTTACCCCGTGCCCGTCGTCGAACCAATGATCTTGGGGATTTCGGGGTACTTCTACATGGACTTGATGTATCCCAAACTCTCTCCGCTTCAAACGGGCTTGTTGATTGGGGCCCCTTGGACATCAACAGTCGGGGGGGATTCAGAAGTCACTTTTGAGGGGGTCTCAACTCTGAAAACCACTTCACAGGCCACTTAAGTTCTGGTTTCTGGGTCATTCCGCCAGTCCCTTCCCATCGGCCCAAACCATGAGTTGACTACCCATCTGGACCCCCAACTTGGAGCACGAGATGCGACGGCGCATGCAACGAGAGGCGCGGGCTTGCAGAGCTTGCAGTTGATCTGCACCGTGGCGCCGCTCCATGGCCCTTCCCCCGCCGCCAGAAACGCCAGGTGGCCCAACAGGTCGTCGAAGGCCTTGGGGCTTCGAACCCGGCGGCGAGCGGCGCTGCGCGGATGGAAGGCATCCGGGGTGGGGTGAGTGAAGGGGACCAGGGCCAGGGGGGTGGTTGTAGCAGCTTTCCCCCCCCTTTTCTGGAGGTCCATTGTGCCATGCAGTTTTGTCTCAACAGTACTTGGACCCGTGGCATCGGTCTCCGCGCAAAAGACACGCCCAGACGCGACTCCGGGGTATAAAGCCCCAGCTCATTGGATAAAATTCACCATGGCCACGTAACCAACAGGCAACCAACAAAATCAAGCAGTTCGCCTGTTTCAATCCGTATCTCAGAGCCCGGTTATTCATCACAAACCTTGCTTGCCTACAAAACCGAATGGTTCGAGTCACCGGGTCCTTCCAAAACACTCGAACTGATGAATCTTCATTGCTTGGTTGCTGCAACGACCCCTCTGCAAAAAAGTAATAACTGTTTGCGGCTTCAATGGACAAATCCCTTGATTCCCCAAACAATTAAGGTCCAAAGATCCAACCCAATCGCAACCCTCAGTTGCCCGCTTAGGGACCCAGAAACAACATGATCACCTTTTGGGCAACGCCCTTGCCAAAAAATCGGCCAACAACTTGGAAAAAGGAACAGAAAATAAGAACATAACACGTCCAATCCGACCAAGTTTCGGGGTCCCCGTGGTCGTTTTTCTCGCCTGAGGCTGCCGCGGAGGTCATGGCCTCGGGGACCGATGGCTCGTGTGGCGCCAAAGCTTTTTGGGCTCAGTTCAAGGAAAACCCACGAGGAAACCACATGTTATTACTTGTTTTGTTTTGTCTTTTTGACTTTTTTGTTTGTGGGGGGACCATTTTGTTTTTTTTTGGGGGGGTAAGGGGGTGGCCCTATTTTAAGACACACTCGAGACTCAGGTTTGTTTTTCAAGAAGCCCTTAGCCGCGACATTGCGCATTGCCTCGTCTGTGGTTTGACCCACGGAGCTGTGGGAACGATCCTTAGCCAGTGATTCCATTTCCCTGAGTAGGCAACTGGCAACGCAGGGAACCAGCCTTTACGATCCAAAGGGAAAACGGCTTGTTGCCTACCTCAGTACCTACCGCAGTGGCCTGCCTGGGTCTGGCCTCATCATTTGGGCATGATCAAAGCCACCCCCCCTTGGTGAATTACTGGGAAACCATTTCTTGTGGGTGTCGTGTCTTAGGGGGTCCTAAAAAACCAACCAAAAGGTTGGAACCCTCAAAGAAAGAACCGCCAACACTTCTTGTGACTCTGACCCCTAGAAACTCAGGGGGTTGATTCCCCATTCTTGTCAACCATCGTTCTTTTCAAAAACCAGATGCTTCCCCAGGTTTTTGGAAAAAAGGATGCCTGGAAAGAATGGGGAAGCTGGGCTGCCCTCAGATCCCCCGCTAACAGCTTCACGTTTGGTGGGTTAAATGGAAACTACCACTAAACACTAAAGGCTAAAAGTTTAAGGGGATGGCTGGGAGCCACCAAGGAACCCCAGAGAAACCGTCAGCATCCGTCGACCCCAGTCGCCATCCACCTCTTGGCTTCCGGCGCCCCCGTGGCAAAGGCCCCGGTGGCTCTCGGCGCCGGGGCCGAAGCAGACGGGGCCCTGCAGCATCTTCTCCTGGGCTCCGTTTTTGCTTTTTTTGGGGGATCTTCCATGATTAGAGTTAGGCCCAGTTATAGAAATAATATATTTTATTGTTTGAAATGTAAAATGTATCCTAAGTCTACCCCAGTCTTCTTTTCGGACTTGGACCCAACCCAAAAAGAAATGCTTTGGTTTTCCAAGGGGTTTCCCTTAAAAATTCGACACCCATAGTTTTTGTCCCTCCAAGATCCAAGAGGAAGTTCAACCACAATTGGCCCAAAAAGTGATGCTTGAAGTCATGGGAAGTTTAGGGACCACTGTGTTGTCAAGTTGTAGTTCTACTTCCGCGGGTGTCCTCTTTTTCTTGGTGGAATCCACCACACTTGTTGGACTTGCTTAAAGAACCAACCACTAGGGTCCTTCTGCCTCTTGCAATAGGAGAAAACCAAAGGCAGCGGAAAGGCTCGACAGGGAGCTTCTTAGAATGGGTTCTGAAGAAGGTTTCTGAGAACCTTTCTGGTGGGGGCATGCTTTCTTTAGACAACACCCCCCAAAAAGGGAAGCTTCAGGTTCAACCATCCGCATAAGACATCTGCAGGCCCCTGGCAGACACTGGCTTGGTGAGGAACCCTTGAGGGAAAGTTCGTGTAAAAGGTGCCTGTGCACGTCCATGTTTGTTGGTGGAGGGTAAACGCAACCCGCAGAAGAAAAAGAAATGAAGAACAAAAAAGCAATTTATGTTTCAAGTTCCCCGATATTAGGACATGTTAGGGCTCCTCTTCCATTGGAACATGGCCGCTGGCTCCACATATTTTGTTCTAGAAGGGGGAGCAAGTCCACTGTCGCACAAAGGGAAAACCAAACTCTAATTTCCCAAGGGCCCCCCTCCCCAAATTCCATTTGTAGATACACGTGACTGATCTCTCACGACGCCTTCCACCTTCCCGCACCGCTTCCCGCTGCAGGCCACAAGCTTGATCCGCGCGATAGGGAGTCCCTAGCCGATCGCTTACGCTCTGAACTTCGCGGGGTCCAGAGGCCAACATCTGAAGCCAACCACAAGCGCTTCTGAACAACTTCCGCGCTCAAGTTGCAGCCGACAGCTTTCCGAGCGGCCGCGGGGCTGTAGAAGTAGCAAGGTATGTACCTCAGTTGGACATGGAGGTCCGAGCTGGAAAATCGTAACTTTGACAAGTCTATACGCGAAGTACCGGTTTCCAGCTCCAGCTGGAAAATATCGACTTTGTTGCACAAGTCTAGCACGCGAAGTACAGGTTTCTAGCTCTACCTGGAAAATCGCGACTTTGTAGTACAAGTCCAGCACGCGAAGTACAGGTTTCCAGCTCCAGCTGGTAAATTGCGACTCTGTAGTACAAGTCTAACACGCAAAGTACAGGTTTCCAGCTCTGGCTGGAAAATCGCAACTTCGTAGTACCAGCTCTACCTGGAGAATCGCAACTTTGAAGTACCAGTCTAGTGCGCGAAGTGTGCAGGTTTCCAGCACTAGCTGGAAAGTCACAACTTTGTAGCGCAAGTATAGTACGTGAAGTACGTCTGTCCGCGCGTCTATTTAGCGCACCATGCTAAGTTGCTGTGGTATCATCATGATGCTGTCAACATCATGATGATGCTGTCAACATTATCATGGTGCCGCGGGAACCATTATGATGCTGCGTCATGTTCGTGGCTGTGGTGTGCTATCTATGTCCCATTGAAACCGCGTGGAACTTGAAGATGTGGCCAAGGTCAATACCATACACTTCAACCTGGCGTCAGATTTTAAACGTCTGGTAAGTTTGGCCGGTGGCCACGTGCCAATTGTTACATTGCAAACTTCGCCAGGCCTAGGCTCTTGCAACTGCCTCCTGCTTCTGTGCATTGTGGGTTTGCCAAGGCTAAGCCTCCGACCAACGCTGGCCACCAAAATCATTGATCAAATCAATGGTATTTGCAACAAGCCCGGGTTTTTCTTGAAAGGGACACATGGCTGGGCTGGTTTCCCTCAGGCCCTCAACTAATTCCCTTCGGCCTTCGGGGCCCCAAGGCCATCCACCGAGGGCAAGCATGAACGATGCAACGTGTCGACCCGGATACTCTTTGGATGAAGATCAGATGGAACCCGAACCAGAGGTCCTTGTCCAAGAGGCTCTGTCGAAAATTGGACGGTCCACAACGAGGTTCTTTCAAACAATTGACGGCGTGCTAAAATGGAAACCACCCGAGAGTTTTGGAAAGGTCTTCAAGCCCACCTGGGAGGGCAAAAGACCGACTGGTTTCAGAGTATGATGTCAGCCTTTCACTCAAAAACAGACAGGAACAAGAGCAAACACAAGGAGGTACGTTCCCATGGAAAAACCAGTTGTCCTTTTTACATCTCTCCCTCAGTTGCCCAAAGGACCTGGAACTAAAAGGCTAACCTTTTGGGGCCATGACTAAATCCGCCGACCCTCTGCCTCCCGTCCCAGCCTTTTGCAGAGGGGACCGGCGTGGGATGCAACTGGAAGTGATTGGAATCAATGATAGTCCATGGGGGCCAGGACCGGTCCCGGGACCGGTCCCGGGACCGGTCCTGGGACCAGTCCTGGGACCAGTCCTGGGACCGGTCCTGGGACTGGTCCTGGGACCCTGGTTCTGCTGTTTCAGATTACTTGCAGTCAGCCAAAACCGGTGCTGGGACCGGTCCCGGGACCGGTCCCGGGAGCAGTCCCGGGACCAGTCCTGGGACCGGTCCTGGGACTGGTCCCAGGACCAATCCCAGGACCGGGGTTTGGTCCTGAGACTGGTCCTGGGACCGGTCCCAGGACCGGTCCTGGGACTGGTCCCAGGACCAGTCCCAGGGACTGGTGCTGAGGACCGGTCCCACACAGGACCGGTCCTGGGACCAGTCTGGGAAGCCGGTCCCGGGATCGAGTCCTGGTGTGACCGCTGGTACTTCAAATTGTTGTGGTGCGACCCTTTCCGGACTGGCACCCAGGACGCTGGACAGGGTCCCAGGTCGTCACTGATTGCGACCAGTTGAGGGGGACCAACAGCCTTGTTTCTAGGACCAGCTCAACGTGACTTCGGCACAAACCGGCCCGTGCGGTTATTGACGGAGCTGTCATCTGTCTGACTTTTCCGTTAATCCTTGTGGTAGTAGAGGATCCCTGGATCCATTCTGCAAGAGAGTCCAAGACGTCGAGTCAAACCGCGCCAGACTGGGACCAGCCTGGATAGGGTCCCAAGTCCCGGTCCCTGCCGGCGACCGGTCCAGGGCAACTTCGGGAGGGCCAGTTTCAGGGCGACCCCGGGAGAGGCGCCAACTCGAAGTGACTTGGGCGCAAGCCGGCCCAAGCGGTAATTAACGGACTAGCTGCCCTATTTCTGACTTTTCCGTTAATCCTTGTTTGTGGTCGTAGAGGATCTTCTAAGTGGTCCCCGGGTTTGCGGACGTGTTTCAGGACCGGTCCTTGTGACTTTTCCCTTAATGCGCCGAGGGTCGGCGGCAGCAGGCGGGAGCCTGGTTAATATGGACCAAAATTGGAAAACCAAAAGGTCAAAAGGTCGGCTTTGAACAACTGAGCTCCTCCATTTACCCACACTTATGAGGTGTCAAAGTTGGGCCTATTGATCCATTCACAGGACCTCCCGCCAATGGACCCTGCGTGCGGTCGCGCGGCACGGCGCTCTGGGGGCTGTGGATGAGGTCGTGGCCGTGCCAGCCGCTGCTCTTGCGCCACAGCCCGTCCTGCGGCTTTCGGGCGGGGCCCTCGCAAGTTTCTCGGGTTTTTTCTCGGGCTCGGAAGGCTCACTGCCTGAGACTGGCCAAACCAAGTGGCTGGACACTTCTTTTCTAGGTCCTCCAGTAGAGAGGTTAGAAGAAGGCTACCCAACTTTTTCGGTAGTCTATTTTGGTAGGGGAACCCTCCCCCCAGAAAGAAACGGTAAAAGGGCAACTATTGGGGGACCTAGTGTTTTAAGCACAAAAAAAGGGCCTCCTCCCCCCAAAAAGCGCCGCGTCCAGGAACCTGGGAACCGTGAGCTGCGATCCCAAGGGATCCGAGGGATGCGCTCCTCCCACTCGCGCATGCGCACGCGCAAGTGCTTGGAACTACCCTCCAGCCACTTCAGCCAGGCCGGCAGCTCATAGTCCTGGCAGAGTTGCTTTTTTGTCTCACCGGCTGAGTGGATGGCCCAAAAAGTCCCCAAACTTTATATTTGCCACTAAAATCCCAAAAAGCTTAGAGCTCATGAACCCGGGAAGTGAGCATTGTGCACGCCTGTCTTCTTGTCAATACCCATTTTGCAGTTGGTCTAAGCTGAACCCGAAGGATCTGCCGGGTCCCTCAGCCTATGGATATGTGTCAGAACAGGGATTTGGAGCCCACAAGATCGGCGTGTTTCCTTTCGGCCTCCCTTTCAACGAGCCCGAAACTGGTACACAGACTTTAAAGAGAGACGCGCGCACAGTGGCAAAACCATCGCAAACCGGGCTTTGGAGGCTCAGGGTGCCATGACCGGGGGGGGGGGAAACTAGAACCTGCGACATGTGTCCGTCTATCTTGGCCGACGTCCCTAAACCCAGGATTGAAATACTGCTTTGGTTCATCGTTTGAGTCAACGGCAAAGGCCAAACGTTGACCCAGCTACGCCCTGAATGTTGTACTTGGGAGGTTGTCGAACTATGGCCGCTTACTCTAGCCTCGCACCGCGTTGCGCCGGCTTTTGGAGGGAGACCAAGTACTGGGGCCCGAATTTCGGACAACTCCCCACTTGCTTCTTTTGCTGGACCCAACAGGAAAGGGGATTATGTGGAGGTTCCCCGTAAAAATGAGGATATATGGATCCATTCACCCCAAAGGGAAACATGCTGTGGATTGACAAAACCCGATGAAGAGGTCTATAAAATGCGAGTCAACCCACCTACCAACCCACGCGCCATTTTGTGCACGACCTGACGCAGACCCCAACCCCTCGACCCTGAGGAGGTGGATCTTTTTCGAAAACCATTTACGGCTCATGTTCGCACACGTGCGCCGGACTCATTTTTTCGATCACGGCCAGGCGCTTGCGTTCAAACACATCGCCTTTTAGGGGTTCTGCAAAGCAGGCGCGACAGCCAAAAAGGAATGCGGGCACACGGGCCATATGCCCACATGAAACACAAGCGCACAGGCGCGGGCCAACCACACGGGCACACGGGCACGCGCCAGGCGCACGCTCAAAGGCAAAAATGGCTCCTGCGGCGCATCCCCTATTTGAACAACAGGCTCAGTCATTTACAAGTGGTTTGTGGAGGGATTGTTGTTGGGCGAGAAGGGTTGAAGCGAGCAACTTGATTGTCTACTAGGAGGGGAGGGCTCTTTTCTTCGGGTTTCTGCGAGCGCCCTAATTCTTCGCACCCGAGAAGGTTTCCCGTCGACTAGCGAAAAATTAAAGGAGCGAGCCGCTCGTTGTTCTAGCAGGAGGGACGCTCGAAGTTTTTGTAGCCTTTCGAGCAAGCAGCTCGATTTTTCTGGCGAGGGCTACCTGGAGTCTCCATTGTACCTTTAATTTTGGGGTCATAGTATCAAAATTGCATTCTTTTGCGAATAGGCTTGTTTCTCATTGTCACAACAAGGTGACTTTTTTAGTGCAGACTGCGACAAGTAGATATGTTGTGCAAAAAAGGAATGTAACACACCGCAGCAACTCGGTGGGCCTTTTTTTAAGGATGTTAGCCAAATAAGTTGCCTTAAGTAAACGTCTTCTTCCATGTATGGCAACGCCACAGCTTGTACCTATCAAGCAACATCTTGCTTAAGTGTATTCATCAGCCACATTTGTCCAAAGCCCACGCGCTTGCCTGTAAGCGTTTGCTCAACGCTCAACAATATACGGACACCGTTGCGCAGGCTGGCGCCAAGAGGATCGCTCCCGACAAAAACCTAAGCATTTTTCCCGACATCTTTGTGTGGGGTTCTTACTTTTACCGCTCCGCGCCCGCCGCCCGCCGTCCGCCGTCCGGCCCCGCCGCCCACTCACTCACACTCACTGTCTCACACTCACTCACACACACTCACTCACACACACTCACTCACACACACTCACTCACTCACACTCACTCACACTCACTCACTCACTCACTCACTCACTCACCCGCACAAAGTCACTCACTCACACACACTCACTCACACACACTGACTCACACACACTCAGCCACACACACTCACTCACTCACACACACACTCACTCACACACACACACTCACTCACTCACACACACTCACTCACACACACACTCACTCACACACACTCACTCACACACACTCACTCACTCACACTCACTCACACTCACTCACTCACTTGCAGGGGCAGCATTTGGGAGCTGTTTAAAGGGCTGGGTGTTGTCGCGCGCGCGGCTCGGGGCTCGCGAAATGGTAGCAGGCGCAGCACTTTGGAGATGCCGTTGCCGAAGTCGTGGCAGGCGCAGCATTCTGTGCATCTGCGTGTGTTTGCGTGGCAGGGGCAGCATTTGGCAGCTGTCTAAAGGGCTGGGATGTTGTCGCGCGCGCGGCTCGGGGCTCGCGAAATCGTGGGCGCAGCACTTTGGAGATGCCATTGTGCATTCTGCGTGTGTTTGCGTGGCAGGGGCAGCAGCTGTCTAAAGGGCTCGCGCGCGCGGCTGCGAAATCGTGGCAGCGCAGCACTTTGATGCCAGTTCGTGGCAGGCGCAGTGTGCAGGGGCAGCATTTGGCAGCTGTCTGGCTGTCTAAAGCGGCGCAGAAATCGTGGCAGGCGCAGCACTTTGGCGAAGTCGTGGCAGGCGCAGCATTCTGTGCATCTGAGTGTGTGTTTGTGTGGCAGGGGTCGCATTGGCAGCTGTCGCAGGATGTTGTCGCGCGCGCGGCTCGGGGCGCGCGAAATCGTGGCAGGCGCAGCACTTTGGAGATGCCATTGCCGAAGTCGTGGCAGGCGCAGCATTCTGTGCATCTGAGTGTGTGTTTGCGTGGCAGGGGCAGCATTTGGCAGCTGTCTAAAGGGCTGGGATGTTGTCGCGCGCGCGGCTCGGGGCTCGCGAAATCGTGGCAGGCGCAGCACTTTGGAGATGCCATTGCCGAAGTCGTGGCAGGCGCAGCATTCTGTGCATCTGAGTGTGTGTTTGCGTGGCAGGGGCAGCATTTGGCAGCTGTCTAAAGGGCTGGGATGTTGTCGCGCGCGCGGCTCGGGGCTCGCGAAATCGTGGCAGCGCAGCGCTTTGGAGATGCCATTGCCGAAGTCGTGGCAGGCGCAGCATTCTGTGCATCTGAGTGTGTGTTTGCGTGGCAGGGGCAGCATTTGGCAGCTGTCTAAAGGGCTGGGATGTTGTCGCGCGCGCGGCTCGGGGCTCGCGAAATCGTGGCAGGCGCAGCGCTTTGGAGATGCCGTTGCCGAAGTCGTGGCAGGCGCAGCATTCTGTGCATCTGAGTGTGTGTTTGCGTGGCAGGGGCAGCATTTGGCAGCTGTCTAAAGGGCTGGGATGTTGTCGCGCGCGCGGCTCGGGGCTCGCGAAATCGTGGCAGGCGCAGCACTTTGGAGATGCCATTGCCGAAGTCGTGGCAGGCGCAGCATTCTGTGCATCTGAGTGTGTGTTTGCGTGGCAGGGGCAGCATTTGGCAGTCTACAGGGTTGGGATGTTGTCGCGCGCGCGGCTCGGGGCGCGCGAAATCGTGGCAGGCGCAGCACTTTGGAGATGCCATTGCCGAAGTCGTGGCAGGCGCAGCATTCTGTGCATCTGAGTGTGTGTTTGCGTGGCAGGGGCAGCATTTGGCAGCTGTCTAAAGGGCTGGGATGTTGTCGCGCGCGCGGCTCGGGGCGCGCGAAATCGTGGCAGGCGCAGCACTTTGGAGATGCCATTGCCGAAGTCGTGGCAGGCGCAGCATTCTGTGCATCTGAGTGTGTGTTTGCGTGGCAGGGGCAGCATTTGGCAGCTGTCTAAAGGGCTGGGATGTTGTCGCGCGCGCGGCTCGGGGCGCGCGAAATCGTGACAGGCGCAGCACTTTGGAGATGCCGTTGCCGAAGTCGTGGCAGGCGCCGCATTCTGTGCATCTGAGCGTGTGTTTGCTTGGCAGGGGCAGCGTTTGGCAGCTGTCTAAATGGCAGCATTTGCAGCCGTGCCAGAACACATCATCGAGCCGCACTTCAGGACACCCCAAATCGAGAGATTCGGACGCGTGGATGATTTGGAAGTTGCTTGCATCTTAGCGCCTTACAGCGCAGGATGCATGGGGCCAGGCTGGCAGATACATGCTGCGCCTGACGCGATGGCACTTCAAGCCATATGTTAAACATATGCCGCTGACATATGCCATTGGCGATGCCAATGCGACCCCTCGATCTGCCAGAGCGAAAAACAAAGTGCTGAGAGTTTTCGACATAGCTGACTGCGTGAAGGGTTTGCATGTGAGGGTCTTTGCATGTCTCGGATTTGGGATTATTCGCTGCTCGGCAGATGCAAGTGTCGCATACTTCAATAAGCATAGACTTGTGGGGTTATCCGGCCCTTTAATTTTGCTTGCAGGCGGCAAGTGTACTTTTTCGAGGCCTGGCGCCCACCAGTTTGTTTCTTCAACAGCCACTTGAAGAAAGCAAGTGCTTGTGAGAGTCCTTTAGGCCGTGGCTCTGAAATGCTTTCTGGGAGTCACGCTCTGGGGCTCAGTGATGGAGGAAATATAATTTTAGCAAGGGTGTAGCAACAAAAGGCTACATGCGCTTAACGAAGGCTATTTGCACACATTACCTTCTTCGGAATCTTTTCACAACGTGTGTTTGTGTTGAGCCACCCCTAGGCAAGCAACAGCTTGAAACGGGCCTTGGACTGGCTGCTCTTGCAAATCTACTGGGGGCATCTGAAATATTGTTTTCCGAGACTTTCCGGCTCGAGTGACGATTTGGTAGTGAAACACGCTCAAAGGTTGCAACCGCCGAAAGGCAAATTGTTTGGAGCCTTCTGTCAGCTGTCTGTCCGCCGTCCGTCCGTCCGTCCGACCGCCGTCCGTCCGTCGTCTGTGCAACCGTCCACCCAGTCCAGCTGGACCCCATTTCTTGCTTTGGCATACTTTGAGGGTCCCAAAAAAGCCGTCCAATAGGCGGAAAAACCCGTCCAAAAGGCGGCAAAAACCGTCCGTCCAGCTTGTACCCTTTTTTTGTTTTGTGGGCCTTTTTTGCCCTTGTATGCTGGAGAGGGAGCAAATTTGGGATTGCCTTCGACCAACTGCGCGCTCAGTGTTGAGTTGAGGCTGCAACAGATTTTGTGCAGCACTTAGTCTCACGGCACAAGTAAGGATAGTTCTGGCGCTGACCCTTCGTGTTCAATGCTTGGCCCCGTGCCCATGTTCTGGTTGACAGTAAAACACTTGCGTGCCGGAGTGCACCTACGTGCGTATATAATTTACTGTGTTCGTCCCTCATTGTGTCCGCATCGTTGGAATGACCGCTCTGTTCGCTCTGAATTTGCCACTATAGCAACGACGAGCACCTAGGCGCGCTGGAGTTGATTGTAATTTCGCTGTGGCACCCAAGCTCATGTCAACGTACACGCTCGTGCTGGCACGCCTGCTGTCGTACTTTTTGCGTGAAAGCAAATAGCTCGCCTACTGGCAAAAACTCCTTCGTTGCGCGTGACAAAGTGTGCCCCACTGCATTGCTCGCTACAGTTTGAAGCGGTTGCAGCTTTGCCCCTTTGACCTAGCAAAACCCAAACCTCAAACCTTGCTGACCCTACACCCTGAACCAAAACCTAAACCCGAAAACCTAAGGCCTAGAACGTGCGGGCCCTGAACCTAAACCTTCCACCCTACACAGTGTTGACCCTACCCTAATCCATGTTGACCCAGAAGCCCAAACCTAAACCCTAAACTGTGATGACTGCAACCATCTAGCAACACCATTGTTCGCTTTCCTTCCTGTTTCGGCTTTGTTGCTCTGTCTTTTCCTGCTGGGGTGTCTGAACCCTGTCTTAGCACTGTCTTGGCACTGTCTTGGCAGTTTCTGTCTGGAGCATTTGCGAGTTTCATCGCCCGCTTTGCCGCAGCACCTTTGCCCGTCTCTCTTTACCTTCTCTCCTCATGCCCGCGCACCATCCGAACCAGGGGATGTTTGACCGGTCGGGGTTGCAAAAGCGAGCTAAAAAAGGCGTTGTAAGCTTGGAGCGCCCCCCTTTAAAGCTAAAAATCGCCTACCTGGAGTGTCCGTGACGACTCCAGTTTTTTGGGGTCACGGGTGCCAAAAAAGGCACTGTGAAACAAAAAGGGGTCACATGCGTCTCCTTCCTGCTTACCAGTAAATGGATAGCGCCATGAGTTGCGATCTTTAAATGAGTGCAACCAAAAAGAAAGCTGCCGGAGTCTGGCTTTGGACACGGACCTTACGCATGTGTTCTGGAGTTATGACATGTAATGTTCGTCTGCTCACTTAGTAACCAAGCTTGAATCATGCTGGGGTAGTACACGGCTTCTTTGGGGCTCCTTTGGCTTTCGCGTGGGGGGCTTCGTCATGTGGAAGCTGCCTTGAGCAAAGAAAAGCTTGAAACACCAAACCTGCGCCCCCTGGGAAAAAATAAAAAAGGTTTCCAGTAGTCATAGATTCCCTCTAAACCCAACAGGGGCAAGTAAAAAAACAAAAATATCTTAGGCAAATGGAAGCAACGGCGTTTCCCGCCCGGCGTTTCCCGCTTGACGCGGCGCTTGCCCCGGCCTTCCGCTTCCGCCAAGCGAGCGCGACGGCCGCGGCCGTCAAGGCCGCGAGCGCCGCATGGAGCGCCAGCGGGAAGCGGGAAGCGCCCATGCGGAACGAACCGGCCCAGGAAAATGCGGAGGGTGGGGGGTGAGGAGGGTGGGGGGTGAGGGGGGTGGGTGGGTGAGGGGGGGTATGCGGCATGTGAATGTTCAAAGATGTTTGGTAGATATGGGGGTGTGTCAACATAGGAGGGGGGATGAACACATGGTGGTACCCTCAAAGATGCAAAACAAAACATAAAAATACAATTACACGTGATGCATGTCTATGTTGTTAAGCGCTTAAAACATGGCACTTCTAAACAGAGTTTAGATTGTAATGCCAGTGTCCAATATATTTTCTTACAGGCAGTGGTTGCTTTTGATATTGGCTCCATTTAGTTCCCAAAGGCAAATTGCCTAAGTTTGTTAAGCTCAGCCAAACACAATAATCTTCCTTGACGGACGCCAGAAGGACGTTGTAAAAAGCAAAACATGGAGTAAACTCGCTTGAACGAGTGGTTGGGCCAACACTGAATCCATCATTGTTGCTACAACCTCCTTTGGGGTGACTTTCTTCTTCGGACTGACGCGGATGCCGGGCAGTGGCTACTCGCTTGGATGTGCTCCACCTTTCATCGGGAAACGGCACGCGGCCGTGTTGAAATTTCATCTAGACTTTGTTTTAGCTTGATGTAAGCTGAGAGCCAAGGCTCAAACATAGCTCCGATCAAACGATACGACGCATGAGAGATAAAGTCATGACCTGGTGCCAATTTGAACCCAACACAGACCGAATATTCGGACCAACTTCTGGCTGGGACTATCCCCGGCGAATCCCCGGGTAACCTGCACCAAGGTTTTGCTGGCTCAGATTCACGGCTCTGCCCTTTGCATGTTTGGAAACACCTATAGCAAGATCTAGCCGTCTTCTCTTCAAGGATCCTTCTGTTCAAATTCCGCAGCAAATAAGGGCGGTCCTTGAAAAAAACAATGTGTGAACAGAATTGGGGACCAACCGTGAAGTAGTTGTTAAACTGGTGGGCGCCCGCAAGTGCATCAAATCTGGGAAGCTTGCCCTATTCACTACAAATAAAGATGGGAAACCATGGGAAACCCATCTGAGACACACCCATCTTGCTGGACAAGTGCCCTGCGTTTCCCGGCGCAGCCGTCCGAGACACAATGAGATGATTCCCAAATCGGGTACCCGTTTTTGGGCCGGTTGCTGCTTCAGGCAAACAAAGGTAGACAGGTAGACCGGCCATTTGAGCGGTAACAGTGCATCCCTTTCAGGTTGCTCCGTGAATGCCCAAAAAAAGAGATCGACCTTCGATTCCCCGAGAGCTTAAGCTTCTCCATTTGGTCCTCGGCCATTGGAGACTCAAGGATGTTGGGTATGGGAGAAAAAACAGGTGTTGGGGGCTGCTGGAATAGAACCAACCGTACCTCAGAAATATGGCCCGTTCACATCTTGCCCGCCCCCCGTCCCTCCAACGCCAAGATCTCTGCCTTTCCGTTTTGCGGCCGTCCCCATTTATGGGGCGCTCACAGGCGCCTCCGTCTCGGTCCTGTTCTGCTACGTGAGGAAAAACAGCACCCCTCTGGTGGAATCTTAAAGAAGGAACACCCCACCGAAATCAAAAGACACGCAAACGGTCCGGCAAAAAACGAAACAACCCGCAACCCGCAAACAAAAACCAGAGGCCACCCCACCACAGAAAAGCAAAGCAGGTTGCCACTGCAGGATCATCTCAGCCGGTCTTGCAAATAGGCCCCGTCGCCAGGCACTGGCCACCGCTCACATCGCAGTGCGAGTAGACGCCGGGAGACAACTGGCGCGCGGCGAAAGCGCGGCGCGCGTGCGAGTTGGAACCCTCGCGTGAAACGGACCTCCAAGAGGGCAGGGGGGAGGCAACACCTCACTCTTTGGGCCTTCTTTTGGGCTTAGCCTCCTTATCCAGGATAAAATGCCCCCAGCCCTTGGAGGTTCATGAAAGGAGCTTCCTGGGAAAGGGGGGCACCTTGGATATTCAGCGCAACTTGTTGTTTCCTGTGCAATATGGACCCAGAAACATCTGCCCCGGCCCCAAACAAAGTCGCCCCCCCCCCCCCCGGCCCGCCCACAGTCGGCTTTCATTTGCCGGCTAGCATTTGTGGCTCTGTTTGCACTATCGCTGAATTCGTCTGATCGCAAGTATGTGTTAGTTCATCCAATCCTACGCATGTCTCAAATCGGCTTATCTCAAGCATGTGCCTTTCTGCAGTTTCTGGGGTTCTACAAGCCACGCAAAGCGGTCCGGAAGATCAGTGGCGGGGGGCGAGGTTCATGTCGCCGGTTGCCGCCCCTCGGGGCCTCCGTGTATTTGCCCTTGCAGTCCTCCACGCTCTGCTCGTCGCAGCTCCTCAGCTGATGGGTCAAGGTTGGTGTCTATCGACCGGGGGTGTCGTTTTTCCCGAAAGCATGGCGAAGGGTTCTTCCGTTGGATTCGTGGGAGTTATCATCATGAGAGTCATTGAAAAGAGTTGTCATCATCAGAGTCATTGCACAGAGTCATCATCATCATGGGAGTCATTGCAAAAAGAGTTATCATCATCAGAGCCATCATCGTCAGAGTCATTGCAAAGAGTCATCATCATCAGTCATTGCAAAGAGTTATCATCATCAGAGTCTTTGCCAAGACTTATCATCATCAGAGTCATTGCACAGAGTCATCATCATCACAATCATTGCAAAGAGTCATCATCATCAGAGTCATTGCACAGAGTCATCATCATCATCATGAGAGTCATTGGACAGAGTCATAGCAGAGAGTCACTTGCGAGGAGCTGCTCGTGAGAGTCACTGGCGAGGAGCAATGCTCATGAGAGTCACTTGCGAGGAGCAATGCTCGTGCAGGGTCACTGGCGAGGAGCAATGCTCATGAGAGTTCTCACTCATGACGAGTTTTAACTTCCTTTCTTCTCTTCTTAGGGCGGCGGGGTAGGGCCGACAGCACTCTACGAGAATCAACCCTCTGCGGAGATTCGTTTGGTCGAGGTCAAAAAACTGCGGACTTTTTACGATTTCTGATCTGTGCGAGCGACCCTCTGCGGAGATCCGTGTGGTGGAGGTCAAAAAACTGAGGGTTTTTGCGATTTTGACATTCCAGGATGAACCCTCTGCAGGGATCGGCGCGGTCGATGTGCAAAAACTGCGGGCTTTTTGATTCTGAATACGCTCGCGCGACCCTCTGCGAGGATCGTGCGTGTCGAAGCGCTCTCGCTGCGGCGCCGTGCGAATTTGTTGCTTGCGAAGTGGTCTTTGGAAGTTGTCGCACGGTTTGCGCGGCTGCTCTCGGAGTCGCGCGGTCGCGGGGTCGATCCCCTGGTCCGCGGAAGCTTTTCTAGACAGGAATCGCAACTTTGAAGTGCAAACGTAGTACGCGGACGCAGCTCCGGCTGGAACATCGCAACTTTTAAGTATAACTGTAGTACGCGGAGTACAGTCCTGCAGCTCCGGACTCCGGCTGCAGAATGGAATTTGTCAATTGAAAACTAGTATGCGAAGTACTTCCCGAAAGCTCCAGCAGCACTTGCGCAGAGCAACTTGCACAGAGCGCTGCTTGCGCAGAGCAACCTGCGCAAAGCAAATTGCACAGAGCACTTGCACATAGCAGCTAGCGCAGGGCAACTTGGGCAGACCAAACGTCATCATGACAGCCATTGCATAGGGTCATCGCACAAGAGTCATTGAACGGAGTCATCACGAGAGTGATTGCACAGAGTGATCATGAGAGTCATTGCCCAGAATCATCATGAGAGTCCTTGCGCAGAATCATCATGAGAGTCATTGCACAGAGTCATCATGAGAGTCATTGCGCAGAAGCATCGTGAGAGTCCTTGCACAGACTCATCACAGCCATTGCATAGAGTCGTCACACCAGGGTCATTGCACAGAGTCATCATGACAGCCATTGCATAGAGTCATCGCGCACAAGTCATTCAACGGAGTCATCACAAGAGTCGTTGCGCAGAGTCATCATGAGAGTCATTGCACCAAATCATTATGAGAGTCAATGCACCGAGTCATCATCATGACAGCCATTGCATAGAGTCATCACACAAGAGTCATTGGACAGAGTCATCATGACAGCCGTTGCATAGAGTCATCACATAAGAGTCATTGAACGGAGTCATCACGAGAGTCATTGCACAGAGTCATCGTGAGAGTCATTGCACAGAATCATCATGAGAGTCATTGCACAGAATCATCGTGAGAGTCATTGCACAGAGTCATCATGAGAGTCACTTGCGTTGTAGTCACTGTTTTGCTCGAGGGCGGTATATGTGTCATCTTTGACGTGCTGGGCAAACTCGTGTGAGGGGGGGTCCGATAGGTGGCAAGATAGCAGGAACAAGGTTAGTTGCTGTGCGTTGCTCGTGGCCACATCGAGCAAAAAACTTGCGCGGGAATGATTGCCGGGCTGTGATGCTTTCGGGCCAACCGTGGTCTAGTTTTTTTTTGGGGGGGGCACCCTTTGTTGCATGGCGCTTGGGGTTTTGGACATGGGGCAAAACAGTTGTTGGGGGTGCTAGTAAAATGGATATGCTGGTTCTTTGTTCGTCATCTTAGTCAAGGACCCAGTCAAACTAGTTCATGGAACCCAGAACAGAACAATCTAATCTACTGTTGGGGTGCTAACTTGACGCGGTGTCTCTTGTATAGTGTCCACGTTTCCTCCCACAAACACAGCACCTTTGGGAGGGCACCTGGAAGATCAGTTTATTTGTAATGGTTGCTCCCCAGGCAAGGTTATGCATGTGTTTGTTGTCTCCCAGCTGTCCGGTAGTTGTTTGTCATTTTCGGGTTCGTAATTTGCGTGCTCGTGCCTTCGGCCATGTTTAGCATGGCTTCTAACATCCACCCAACATCTGAAATGTTGGCCCGCCTCCTGTCTCTAGATTGTGTAAGTCAATGTTAGAACATAACTTCTGTGTATGTCCAAATAAATATAATAATATGCAGCCTCTACACACAGTATATATAAAAAATAGATATGGGCATACTCTAGTTTCGCGCTCGTCTCCATTTCCCTGTCCCGCTCTAGGTGCTTTGGCTACTTACACGGATGCCCCGACCCACCGGTGGTTCAGAAAGGGGAGAGTGGCAACTGGGTGGAGGTGCAAGCAGAAAACCTGGTTTTGGCGCTGTTGCTTACCAAAAAAACTCCTTAACATACAAGCTTCTTGGAATAGACGGAATTTTACAACAGGAAACCAAAACGACACCACAAGGGAAACCAAAATAAAAGGACACCAAAAGGAAACAAACATGAAGGGAAACCAAATTAAAGGGACACAAAAAGGAAACCACAAGGAAACCACAAGGAAACCAAAAGGAAACCAAAAGGAAACCAAAATGATGGGAAACCAAAGCCAAAGGAAACCAAAAGGAAACAAATAAGAAGAAACCAAAATCAAAGGAAATCAAAAACAAACCACAAGAAAACCAACATAAAGGAAACCGAAGGAAACCACAAGGAAACCAAAAAACAAAGGACACCAGAAGGAAACCAAAAGCAAACCAAACTAAAGGGAAACCAGCAGGAAACCAAACTAGAAGGCAACTAAACGGAAGCCGAAAGGAAACTAAAAGGAAACCCATTCGAGTGGCTTGCATCCACGCAGGCCCGCTCACGCTCACTCGCATCACGTCAGGGCTGCACGCACGCTGGCGCTTGATAAGCACACCCGCTCGCGCGCATCACGTCAAAGCCGCGCGCACGCTGGAACACGATAAGCACACCCGCTGACGCGCATCATGTCAGACCTGCACGCGCGCTGGCACATGAAAAGGCACACCCACTTGCGCGCCTCACGTCTGACGTCAGAGCTGCACGCGTGTTAGCGCGTGATAAGCACACCCGCTCATTCGCACCACGGAGCCGCACGCGCGCAGGCACACGGCGAGCACACCAGCTCGCGCGCATCACATCAGAGCTGCACGCACCTTGGCACATGACGAGCACATCCGCTCACGCGTTTCACCCAGGGCACATGATAAGCACACCCGCTAACTGCCATGTGCGCTGACTTGGTCCAAAACTGCATATGTCGACCTGAGATTCAGCTGGCCTGAGTTCGTTTCCGGGATGTCCCACAACCACAGAAACATGCGTACTTGTCAAACTGCCTGAGGAAAGATGCACGAGCACCGAGGACATGCAAAAAAGCGCGCGGGTGACTATGTACCCGGCGCGAAATGAACGGGAACCAAAAAGGAAACCAACAGAAAACCACAAGGAAACCAAAATAAAAGGAAACCAAAAGGAAACCGTAAGCAAAAGGAAACCACAAGGAAACCAAAATATAAGGACGCCAGAAGAAAACCAAAAGGAAAAATATAAAGGGAAACCAAAAGGAAACCTAAGAGAAACCAAAACAAAGGGAAACCAAAAGCAAACCAACAGGAAACCAAAAGGAAACCGAACCAGAAGGGAACCACACGGAAGCCGAAAGGAAACCAGAAGCAAACCCACGCGAGTGGCTTGCACCCCTGCAGGCCCACGTGCATCACGTCAGGGCTGCACGCACGCGCGCATCACATCAGAGCTGCACGCACCCTGGCACATGACGAGCACATCCGCTCACGCGTTTCCCGCACGGCACAGGATAAGCACACCCGCTAATTGCCATGTGTACTGACTTGGTCCAAAACTGCACAACTCTACCTGAGATTCAGCTGGCCAGAGTCACTTACCGGGATGTCCCACAACCCCAGAAACATGCATACTTGTCAAACTGCCTGAGAAAAAACGCACGAGCTCGGAGGACATGCAAACAACGCGCAGGTGACTATGTACCCAGCGCGAAATCAAAGGGGGAACCAAAAGGAAACCAACAGGAAACCAAAATCAAAGGAAACCAAAAGGAAACCAAAAGGAAACCACAAGGAAACCAAAACAACGGAACCAAAACAAAAGGAACCTTTATAAATGGAAACCAAAATACAAGGAATCAGGAAACCAAAATAAAAGGAAACCAAAAGGAAACCAAAAGGAAACCAAAAGGAAACCAACAAAAAGGAAACCAAAACAAAAGGAAACCTTTATAAATGGAAACCAAAATACAAGGAATCAGGAAACCAAAATAAAAGGAAACCAAAAGGAAACCAAAAGGAAACCAAAAGGAAACCAAAAGGAAACCAAAAGGAAACCAACAAAAACGAAACTAAAACAAAAGGAAACCTTTATAAATGGAAACCAAAATACAAGGAATCAGGAAACCAAAATAAAAGAAAATCATAATAAATGGAAACCAAAAACAAAAGAAAAGGAACCAAAAGGAAACCAAAACAAGGCAACCAAAGTACAGGGAAACCAAAATATACGGAAACACAAGGAAACCAAAAGGAAACAACAAAAACCAACAAATTTGGTAGGGTTGTTCTGCTTTAAGACGCTCATTTCTCGCGTCGAGCTGCGTGTTGCCCGGCAGCAGGCTGCCAGTGCACCCCGCCCCCGCCCCCGCCGCGGCAGCTTTGGCAGTAGGCGGGGGGGGCTCTGGGAACACCTGCGGTGGGCCGTGGCCCAAAAATTCAAAGTCCAATGGACTCAGGGAAACCAGCTAGAGGAGGTTCTACAAACTAGCCAAATGCCCACCAAAATCAGGGGTTTCAACTTCCTGTTGTTTGTTTCTTGGACTCAGGGATGAGTCTAAACAAAGTAAGGGGCCTCGATCCCCTTTTTTTGTAAAGTCGCTCTGAATAATTCACCCAGCTGCACGCTTTCTCAATAGACCCTGAATTAGATTGGCGCAGGCCTCCAGAAATCTAGCCAGACCCATTTGGCCGGAATGCTCTGAGCAATGGGCGTTCGGAATAACTCGGCCCAACTGGGTTCAAACATAACACCTTCAGATTCAGAGTGAATCTGACCCCCCCCCCCCCACCAAAAAAAAAAGGAGACCCAGGGACACAGGGCTCCCCTAAAAACAAAAAAACAGCAACCAGGTATATATCTTCCTCCTCCCGTGCTTTCGCCATCCCCATTCATTGTTCTTCTCCTTGATGGGAAGATGGAAGTGATGAACATCTCCAGAGGTGCCCTCTTTTCCATATTGTGGAACTCAACACATGGTTTTTTCCAACAAGAAGCTCTGTTCCTAAAACCCTAAGGTTTGTCGGGTCCATGTTTAATTTGCAGGAAACAAACCCACAAATGAAAATGGGTGCGGATTTATTTTGGGATTGTTGTTCGTTTTTTTTCGGGATTTTTTTTCGTTTTTCGTCCGGGCCAGCAAAATGTCGTATTTTACAGCATTTTCTCGCGAAATTGACGCATTTCACTAGCTCGTCAACATCCCCAGCATCGTTTTCAACATCCCCCGCATGTCCGACCAACATCCCTAGCATCACCAATAAATGGTGGATAACAAAATCCAAACATGTAGCTGGCGGGTTGACGGGGTCAAAACAATAATGCTGCAAACAGGAGGGCATTTCAATCCAAGCAAAAAAATACAAAAAAAACAATTAAGAAAAAACAGAGCGGGGTAGTGATGATTCGAACAGGGGTGCAATTACATCTCTGCAAAAAGTCTAAAAAGTAGCGCGGGGGGTTGGGGGGGACGGCAGCCCCCCCCATGATGTTCGAAGAATTTGTAGAAAATCTAAAACGCAGCGGGGGGGTTGGGGGGGTGCGGCAGCCCCCATGATGTCGGAAGAAGTGGTGATTCAAGTAGGGGTGCAATGATTCAAGAAAGGGTGTGATAGAATTTAAAAGGCAGCGGGAGGGTTGGCGGGGGTGGCTTCCCCTATGATGTTCGAAGAAATGCATACATACAGACATACACGGACTACACAGATTACCTAAAATGTCGTATTTTGCAGCATTTTCTTGCGAAATTGGACGCTCGAAAAAGTGATGATTCAAACAGGGGTGCAATTCAATCTCTGCCGGGCCAGTAAAGTGTCGTATTTTACAGCATGTTCTCGCGAAATTGACGCATTTTACACTAGCCCGTCAACATCCCCCGCATGTCCCACCAACATCCCTAGCATCACCCACAAATCGTGTGACGGGTCAAAGAAATGATGATTCAAGTAGGAGGGCATGTCAATCCCTGTAAAAAAATATAAAAGTAGCGGGGGGGTTGGGGGGGGGCGGCAGCCCCCCCCACGATGTTGTTTGCAGAAGTGATGATTTGAATAGGGGTGCAATTAAATCTCTGCAAAAAGTCTAAAAAGTAGCGGGGGGGTTGGGGGGGGCGGCAGCCCCCCCCCATGATGGTCGAAGAATTGATGATTCAACTAGGGGTGCAACCCCCCCATGATGTTCGAAGAATTGATGATTCAACTAGGGGTGCAACTAATTAAATCTCTGCAGAAAATCTAAAACGTAGCGGGGGGGTTGGGGGGGGCGGCAGCCCCCCCCATGATGTCGGAAAAACGCCACCTGCCGAAGAGGAACTGGGAATGCAGAGGATGCGAAAAGCCAAAAAGCCACCAAAAGCCGCATAAACCAGCAAAAAGCCGAAAAGCCTAGAAGCCCAGAAGCCGAGAAGCCAAGAAGCCGAAAAGCCAAGAAGCCAAGAAGCCAAGAAGCCAAGAAGCCAAGAAGCCCAGAAGCCGAGAAGCCGAGAAGCCAAGAAGCCAAGAAGCCGAAAAGCCAAGAAGCCGAGAAGCCAAGAAGCCAAGAAGCCAAGAAGCCAAGAAGCCAAGAAGCCAAAAGCGAAAGAAAATCAAAAAAAAAAACGAAAACAAATCCTAAAATAAATACCCCTCCAATGAAAATGAGCTTTAATTGGGGACCCTTTGGGGTTCATGTCGATGACTCTTTTTTTACCGAAACCCTGACGATGGTTGGCTTCCTTTTGGTCTCCCTAACCAATCCAAAAAAAGGACAGGGGTATGCTTCAACATAAGGAACCAAAACTTGTGGATTTTCTTTTGTCCCTGACCAACTTGACAAAGGATATACTCTATAAAACACAAATCCACATGTGCCATGGCCAAAACTCCCATTCAGGCATCCATAAGCGTCCCTACCCCAAAGCATGCCTTTCGATGCACATATGGGTGTGCCCTTGTTTGTGGTTCTCAATCAAAACCAAGACTGGACCAGAATTTTGGGAATTGGCCACTCTTTTTGGGACCCGGTACAACCCCAAACCACATGGCAGTGGGTCAAAAATAGGTGCCCAAAACGGCTTGCCCTGGTAAATGGAAACCTGGACTAAAACCTGCGGTCCAATTTCGAGGGACATCCGGCTCGCGTTCCGCCTGCTTGCCCTCAGCAGTAATGACCACGTCCCCGATGTCTCCCTCGAAGCCGGTGCCTTCCTTCGCGGTGCCGATGCGGAGCGTGGTGACCGGCCTGGCCGAGGGGCGGCTCACGACGTCTCGGACGTCTCACGTCTCTCCCCGCTTTCGACACTTGCTGGTTCTCAGTAGCAGGGTTGTGTGAAATGGAATCCACTTCTGTGATACAAAAAGGGCCTCCCAAAGACCAACCTATATAGAGGGGGAGATTCCCTTGCATCACAGAAGTGGGGACAAACCCCTTGATCCCACAACCCTGCTCAGTAGGGAATGAGAAATGGAATGACCAGTATAGACCATCCCTTGTAGTCTCCTTTCAGGGGATCTGGGCTCCTTCCCCCATTCCCAGCTGAGCGCCGGCAAGGAAACCCGCGGATACCGTTGGCTCAAAGCAAAGCGGTTCAATGGACACATATGGAAATCTCTCATTTGCGGACCCTATGTTCCCGTTGAGCTGGGATTTGAAAAGACATATCAGTCCCAGTTTCTTGGAGGGAACTCCTTTGCAGGTTGGTTGAAAGGCAAACCAACAAGAGACTGCCATTTGTGCGGTCACCTACTTTGACGCACGCATACTTTTTCTTTATACCCCCCCCCCCATGGACCCTGGTTTAGTGAGCTTGAGCCGTGTTGTTCCAGTGTTTTGTGCCTTTTTTTGCCTCGTTGATTTGGTGGCAAACTTGGGGAGGGGGGTGCCATATGTATATGCATGTGCGCATACAAAGGCAATGTCAGCAACGATGTCAACATCTGCCATCTGACAGAGTCTGCATCCGTCTCAGAGTATTGGGACAACGTTCAATATAAACGTCTGCAACCAAGCATGCGCACCCATCTGCAGTCATATTGCATTTCTCCTAGCTCCCGCAATTTCCGGATTCAAAGTGCTCTGAGAGGACAAGATTCTCGGAAACGATTTCAATCTTGAATATTGGACCCAGTGGTCAAATACTTTCGGGGTGTTAGAACAACTTGAGAGTTCTTTGGTGCTGGCCCAACTTGAATGTTGTTTGGGTTTGGCCAGGATTGACGATTCTCAGGAAAGACTTCTGTGTAATCTTCAAGCTTGAATCTTCCATCCACTAGTAAAATACTTTCAAGTGCTTAGCGATCCAGTGGAACCTCTTTCAAGTTCTTACAGTGCTTTTGGTGAGCGGTTTGCTTCATGTAATCCATGCTCATGTTGACCCTTTTCCAGGTGTCATGCTGAAAACAGTGTATTTTACAGCATTGTGTGAGGATCATGAGGGGTTCTGTATGTTTGTATGCATGTATGTACATATAGATATATGTTCACACACCGTCACCCCCCCTCCCTGAACCCTGTCCACCTCTGCTCATCTACTACCTCCACCTATTGAAATGGAATGAATTATGTTTTCCTGCCCAAACAAGACTATAAATACAATTGATTTAGTTAGAATCCCTGTTTCAAGGTAGTTTAAGAAAATGAACCTCTCTTTTCCCTTGACATGTCCATTTTGAAACACCGTCAAACAAGTTTGATGTTGGACCTTTCTGTTGCTACAAAAGGGCCAGAATGCAAATAACACAAATAACATTTCGAATGTCCTTCTAGAAGTCCTTCACATATCTATTATGAATTATACTTGAGAAATAGTTTCTATTCAATCGTGATTATATAATGCTAATTGAATTGTGTTTGTATTAGATTATATTGAACACTTAAATGATATTTGGAAATACACTCCTATCTAATTTATTTCGTTAAAGATTAGTTGGAGTTTACCCGAAATTATATTTACATATTCATGCAACTCCTATTTGGAAAGGAATTGTTCATGTAAGTTATATTGAACATAAAACACATTTTGGAAAACTATATCCTTATTAAACTATATTCAAAATTTCAATTCTAGTTGAAGTCAAATCCTATTTGGAAAGGGTATCATATTGGGACATGTTGAAGGACTCCGGGCTGTGGGACCCAAAATTGGAAATTCAATTAATTTGAATCTCCAGATTCCAGATTGATCATCCCCAAAAGGCACTAAAACCAGGGTCCATGGAAGGGGTGCATATATATATATATATGCTTATAAATAAATAAATATATGTGTATATATGGCTATGATTTTTTTTAGGGGTCTGTAACGCGCGACGCGGCACGAATCTTGTTACGGAGGTCTGTAACGGAGGCCCTTGTTACGCAGGTCTGTAACGGGAAAAAAATCCTGACAAGCAGAATCAGGAGCGCATCAATGCAAGCCAAGCTGCGGCAAAAAGCAGGGTCGCTCGCTGGCCCGGGCTGGGGTTGGGTCTGTAACGAGGTGGGTGACGGCTATGTAACCAGGTCTGTAACGAGGCAAAGCAAAGCGCAGTACGCAAAGCGCGCCTCCGCAGCACCAGCTATTCAACGCAGGCCAAGCTGCGGCAAAAAGGGGGGGCGCTGGCCCGGGCTGGGGTTGGGTCTGTAACGAGGTATGTAACGGCTGTGTAACGAGGTCTGTAACGAGGCAAAGCAAAGCGCAGTACGCAAAGCGCGCCTCCGCAGCACCAGCTATTCAACGCACCCAAGCTGCGGCGAAAAGGGGGGGCGCTGGCCAGGGCTGGGGTTGGGTCTGTAACGAGGTATGTAACGGCTGTGTAACGAGGTCTGTAACGAGGCAAAGCAAAGCGCAGTACGCAAAGCGCGCCTCCGCAGCACCAGCTATTCACGCAAGCCAAGCTGCGGCAAAAAGGGGGGGGCGCTGGCCCGGGCTGGGGTTGGGTCTGTAACAAGGTATGTAACGACTATGTAACGAGGTCTGTAACAAGGCAAAGCAAAGCGCAGCACGCAAAGCACGCCTCCGCAGCTCTATTCAACGCAAGCAAAGCTGCAGCAAAACGCAGGGTCGCTGGCCCGGGCTGGGGTTGGGTCTGTAACGAGGTTTGTAACGGCTATGTAACGAGGTCTGTAACGAGGCAAAGCAAAGCGCAGTACGCAAAGCGCCTCCGCAGCTCCAGCTTGATTGCAGCTATTCAACACAAGCCAGGCTGCGGCAAAAAGAGGGCAGTCATGTCACTGGCCCGGTTTGTTCATCTGAGGTGTGTAACGAGGGTGTGTAACGAGGGTGTGCCACGAGGGGTGTGTAACGAGGGGTGTGTAACGAGCCAGCTGGTCTTGTTACAGAGGTCTGTAACGAGGTCTGTAACGAATGTCCGCCGCGGCTCTGTTACAGACCCCTCAAAAAAAATCACTGCCATATATATGGAGGTTCACTACATGGTTCCTTTTGGTGGCTTCAAACATCATCGTTTGGGCCAATTTAAAGCGAGCTTCCTTGGGGGAGGATGTTTACAGGGATATATGGTGACCCCTGTCTTGACCCAAATCTGGACGCAGCACACACCAAAACAAACTTCTTCTCACGCTGTTTCATATTGAGTCAATAATACTTTCCGAGAGAACATCCTACATCGCGTCCTCAACCCCCCCCCCCCGCCCCCACAAAAACAAGAATATGTATATACAATATAATATGTGTATACATATATACATACAAATTATGTTGCTTAAAGGGAAATTATTACAACAGGTGTCCCCAAATAAAGACAAACCCAAATCGAGCCAAACTGGGCATGAAGTCCAATGGACCCAGTTTTTCCCCAGACCTCGGGTGGAGCTCTACGGAAAAGCGCTGCTTCAGTGGTTTAGTTTGAAGTATGACCTGTACGTCTGGAACAGAGGCACCCTTTCGGCGAATTGTATAAGGGGCTAAGTACACAACATTTCTTCTATGACTTACTTGGCTCCTCAAGTTCCCATTTTTCAACCCCTTACACTAGTTGCCCAGAGAAACCCGATATAGGCAGCCAGGTGAGACGCCGACACCCTTTTGCAGCTTGTTCCAGCTTGTGCTGGAAAGCTCAACAGCTTGTTCAGTTGGCAATGTCGACTCAATGTTCACGGAATCTGGCCCCCATAATTTCCTGACCAAAGCAAACAGCGCAAACCATATGCAGACCAAGCAAGTAGAGTCGTGGCACGATCGGATTTCGTCACGAACATCACAAGCCCCTTTTGCACAATATGAGTGATTCTCCAAATAGGAGGCCCCAGCATTACTTTTGCTGGATGTGAATCTGAGAAGTTGGCCCCGATTGGTCCCTTCAAACACAATCCCCCATCTACGCAACAAGGGGGTTGAGAACTGAATCGAGAATGTAACCCCAAACATCAGGGGTGCTTGTATATACCCCTTTTACATACACCTTGGGCTAAAAAAAGAACTCATAAAGTGGGTTGGCAACCACGAAAGCCAAGGGGTATGAACAAGGGGAATTTGTACTTCCACCCTTGGACAAACACCAGCAAAATCCCCCACGCGAAAGTGTCGCCGGGGGCCCCCGCTTCATGATGAAGTCCGCCTCCGTCTTTCCGGCCGCGATGCCTTACCCGGTGCTGCGTGCTTGCCCAAAGTGACCCCTTGAAAGGCCCAAAGGACCCAGAAAACAAAAGGTTCACCTTTTGGGGGCTCTACTAAAAAGCTATCAACATTGAAAAACCAGAAGGTTAGAAGGTCGGATTTGGGCAACTGAGAGAATCAACGAATGCTTGAATTGGTTGGCCCTGCATGGGAAAAACGAGGGGGGTCCCTGTAATTATAAGAGTCGCCTGAAGGATGAGAATCGACAGCATGGGGCGAATAACGCTACGTCAACCACCCACAATCAACCACAAGACCGTGATACATTACGATAAATTCGGGGAGGGGAGGGCGGGGGTTGT